CCTGTCAGAGCTGAGGTGTGAGGACAGATCATTTCCTAGGCTGAGCAGCCGTGGGCACACGGTTTCTACTGCTCCTCATCTTCCCCTCTCACCGGTTCTTGTTGAGACTTTACAAGTCTGCAGTGGCTAAAAGGTTCATTAATAATTCTCTTGAGAAGTTTCTGAGGGAACACTGCTACACATGAGAGCAAAGTTGCACTGAAATGGAACAGAATTGGAAGGAACTGTAAGCTGATTCTCTTCTGAATCTCTCTGGTGGATATTGTGACTTAACGTCAGAAAAATTGTGCATTATTTATGACCCTTGCCTGACCGTGTGAAAGGTGGTGATGAAGTAATTTAATGTGGCCTGATTGAATATTAAACTTGTAAAATGTGTCCTTACCCAAACTTTTTTTTCTTTAAGGTTCCAACTTGAGAGATGTGGAAAGTTTGATCACCTGGTAGTTCTAGTTTCTTAATTTTCATCTGAATTTTCAACATTTTGGGTTATTTTAAGCTTTCAATATCTTCAGCTAGGAGAAATTTTTCAGGTATTAGCTGAAGGACAACTTAAATTTCAAAAAGTAATCTTTTTATAATGCTGTGGCTCCAAAAGGGTGATGTGGCAGAGTGTTTCTGTGCTGAGATGGTTTTCTAGAATATACACTTAGGCAGTGCAGCAGAGGTGGTGTATGAAGTGGAATCACCCTGTTTGAGTTGTGTACAGTTGGGAGTTGACACCTTGGTGACATTGCACCAGTAGGTGAGTTGGCAGAGTTCAGCATCTTAAGGACGTGTTTGTTTTGTTAAGAAATGGTTTAATCCTAAACTTTTGTGCTCTTAAATGGAGTCCAAGAGTTACCGGCCTCTGTGGACCAGCAGCATCTTTCATGTGGTCTTCAAAATTAAACTTCTGGGGAAAACGTGACAGTTGAAGCACTGACAGGAGTAAACAACCAGGGAGAAGATGCTTCTTCCGTGTGTGTTGACGTTGAGTGTTCACATGGTTTCACAAAAATATTGGAAGTGAAAAGCTACACAGGTTTTTCATGCTGCCTTCAAAATTACAGATTTTAACACAGCAGCCTTCTTTTGTGAGGAGATAACGGTCTTTGTTTTGATGATACCTGTACTGGGTTATACGTGTTTGAAGAGTTATGAGAAAGGCTCCTTATAGGTCAGAAACCTTTCAACAGACCTAGTATCTTCAGAGCCTCCTTCTTGAGGAGAGATGCTTGAGTGGCAATGCTATTAATTCTTTTTTCCCCGTTCAGGTACTTTGATGGAATTAGGTATCTCACCCATCGTGACGTCGGGTTTGATCATGCAGCTTCTTGCTGGAGCCAAGATCATTGAAGTTGGGGATACTCCAAAAGACAGAGCCTTGTTCAACGGAGCTCAGAAATGTAAGCGCTGTTCCGATTCAAAATTAATAAGCATGATTTTATTCTTGGGAAATTTGGCCTGCCTAAGTGATATTAGATGTGAGATTTCTTTGGTAGGAGATTTCAGCAGATTTTTTTTTTAAAGGATTTGCTTTCTCTCTTGTTTTAGTATTTGGGATGATTATTACCATTGGGCAAGCCATTGTGTATGTTATGACTGGAATGTATGGAGATCCTGCTGAAATGGGTGCTGGAATTTGTCTTCTTATTATAATTCAGGTTCGTAATGAGCTATTTTGTGTGTAACTGAGCCTGGGTAGATACAGTATAGCTGGAAGGAAAAATCCTTCTGTGACTGGTTGCCTTTTATTTATTTCTTTTTCATGCTATAAGGCATCATCCTTTATATCTGTCTGTCTATATGTGAGAAATTCTAAATATTCCATCCAGGAGGAGAAAGCTGGGAGAGATAATATCAAGAATGTTTCAGATAGGAGTGGCTGTTTGATTCAAAATACAGGAATTAGTAGACTTTGGAAGCAGTAGCTGCTGTTGGGCACCGTGGAGGACTTCTCACTAAAGGGCACGGGTGCCGCTTGGAGACACTGTGCTGTAGAGCAGAGCAGTTAAATGCACAAACTTAATAAAGAACTTTTTTTTCAAAGTAATGTGTTTGGTAGCGTCAGTGTTGGGCAGTCACAGGGCCCATTGCCAGGTGAGATGCGCAGGCGTTTGGACGTGAGAGGGCAAAAATACTGCATGAGGGATATTTAGATGAAAAACTTAACGATCACTCTCCAACGTGATGAAAATACCAAAGCAGGGAATTATTACGTGATTCTTGACTTGATTTATTCTTCTTTCTGCTCAGTTTTGTGTCTTTTCCCCGCAGCTGTTTGTTGCTGGTTTGATTGTGCTGCTGTTAGATGAGTTGCTCCAGAAAGGTTATGGCTTGGGGTCGGGTATTTCCCTCTTTATTGCTACCAATATCTGCGAGACCATTGTCTGGAAGGCTTTCAGTCCCACCACCATCAACACTGGCAGAGGTACGTCTGCGATCACAGTTAGTGATGGCATCTCCCAGTGGATGTAAACACAGAAACTATCAGATATTTATCAGATGACTCTTAAAAAAATGTTTTCATGTGTAATGATTAGATTCTAAAGTCAATTGTCCGATATTAAAGATGAGAATGTTTTCTGACTAACCTGAAGGTTAATAACCTACAAGTTTGCCTTGGCTGATGTGAATGGCAGTAGTTAAAATGGGACTTGAGGCCCCTTGGCTGATGATTTTTGGATTTCCAAACTGAAATAGTCTTGTTTTAGCATCATTCAGTCCATAGAAACAGAGAAAATAAGGAATTCTCTATGTTCAGAGAAGTTGTTTGTGGTCCAAGTGTTGTTTGTGGCTACAGGATACTTTTATAGATGGTGCCTCCAAATTATTTTCACCTAGTTTAGTTCTTCAGAGATGTTTATCTCTTAATTCCTCAGCCAATATTTGACAATGTCTGTTGTCCCCTCGAAATGCCAAGTTAAGACACAGCCTGTTTGCATCAAGAAGTTAACTAGTTTAATGCATACATTTGAAATCCTGACCCATGTTTTCAGTTTGCTTCCATTTTCACCTGATTTATAATAGTTCTGTCTGTTGCATTTTATTACTGCTTTTCTAAAGCTATTTTTACAATACAATAGACTATAAGCTATTTTTCTCCTCGTTTGATATTTCTTCCTTCCAATCAATCTCCTGCCAGCAGAAGAGAAAGAAAAAGAGTATTTTTTTTACCCTTTCTTTTTTTTAACCAGGAATAATGTTTTGATTGCTTATTCCATGTTCTGTAAGCTAAACTAGAATCCTCTATTGTGATACATTTGTTATAATAGATTTTATGTCCTATTGTCTCTGATTTTATGTTTCACTTTTAAACTTTCCAAAAGAATGATTTTTTTTTTAATGGTTTTTAATTTACAGTTTAACATTTCTTTTACTCGTTTGCTTCATGCAGGGACAGAGTTTGAGGGTGCTGTGATTGCATTATTTCACCTTCTGGCTACACGAACCGACAAAGTCCGGGCTTTGCGGGAGGCTTTTTACCGCCAGAATTTGCCCAATCTCATGAATCTGATCGCGACAGTATTCGTCTTTGCTGTGGTCATATATTTTCAGGTAAAACCAGAAATTCCTCAAAGTAGCTCTGCAGCTGCCTAGGTAATAGCTGTGGAAAAATGCAGAAGTGAAACTAGAGTAACCCAAGTTGCTCAGCTTTGAGGAAGGAACTCTTTTTTTATTGCAATATTTATTAACGTAGCTCTGTGAGGGTACAGCTGCTCCGTGTCAGAGCCAGTGTGCTCAGTGATGTAACCTCACAGCCATTAAATGCCGCACGCGCTGGGAGAGGATTTTTACTAAAAAATGGATTCTGGGACTGTGGTGTTGGTGTCACACAAATAACATACTTGATATTCAGAGCTGAGTTAAGAGAATACCTTTGGGTAGAGCTAAAGAATGTTGCTTCGTTAGGGTTGTATGTGGTACAGATTTATTTTAGAAAACAACCATTTAATTCATGCATAACTTACTGGTTTTTTCCTAATTTTCTTGAAATACTTAGTGTTGCTTTTTAAATCTAAATATTTACTAAAATGGGCACTAAAGAAGATTCATACAGTGATATTATTTTTTTAAATATTTTTCATGGGTCTGGCTAAAATGTAATCTTTACTATTATCATTATTATTATTATTTTAAGCTGTTGAGTCAGAGTGCTGGCAAAAAAAGTTGGAATTATCTGGTTTTCAAGTCCACGTGGCTTTTCTTGAGTCTCCTCAGCTGGGAGCCTGCCCCAGAAACCAGGTGCCTTGGGCACAAAATTACACAAAAACTGGCTGCTTAAGTTAAAAGCCATTAAAGGTTTTTATCAAACCCAATGCTATAAAGTGTATTTTAGAGGTGAGAGATAGCAGATGAGAGATAATATTTATGTAAAAAGAACGTAATGCAACTAAGCAGGAACCTTTATAAATCCTTAAAGTTTGTAATTCAGAGTGTAGCAGAAAGCCTTTGGGTTTTAGTGCCTTGGACCTTGCGCCCCTTGTTTATCTGGCAAAAACCCTCTGGTCAGGAATCACCTTTAGGCATCCCGAAGGACGTGTTTGTTTTGTTAAGAAATGGTTTAATCCTAAACTTTTGTGCTCTTAAATGGAGTCCAAGAGTTACCGGCCTCTGTGGACCAGCAGCATCTTTCATGTGGTCTTCAAAATTAAACTTCTGGGGAAAACGTGACAGTTGAAGCACTGACAGGAGTAAACAACCAGGGAGAAGATGCTTCTTCTGTGTGTGTTGACGTTGAGTGTTCACATGGTTTCACAAAAATATTGGAAGTGAAAAGCTACACAGGTTTTTCATGCTGCCTTCAAAATTACAGATTTTAACACAGCAGCCTTCTTTTGTGAGGAGATAACGGTCTTTGTTTTGATGATACCTGTACTGGGTTATATGTTTGAAGAGTTATGAGAAAGGCTCCTTATAGGTCAGAAACCTTTCAACAGACCTAGTATCTTCAGAGCCTCCTTCTTGAGGAGAGATGCTTGAGTGGCAATGCTATTAATTCTTTTTTTCCCGTTCAGGTACTTTGATGGAATTAGGTATCTCACCCATCGTGACGTCTGGTTTGATCATGCAGCTTCTTGCTGGAGCCAAGATCATTGAAGTTGGGGATACTCCAAAAGACAGAGCCTTGTTCAACGGAGCTCAGAAATGTAAGCGCTGTTCCGATTCAAAATTAATAAGCATGATTTTATTCTTGGGAAATTTGGCCTGCCTAAGTGATATTAGATGTGAGATTTCTTTGGTAGGAGATTTCAGCAGATTTTTTTTTTAAAGGATTTGCTTTCTCTCTTGTTTTAGTATTTGGGATGATTATTACCATTGGGCAAGCCATTGTGTATGTTATGACTGGAATGTATGGAGATCCTGCTGAAATGGGTGCTGGAATTTGTCTTCTTATTATAATTCAGGTTCGTAATGAGCTATTTTGTGTGTAACTGAGCCTGGGTAGATACAGTATAGCTGGAAGGAAAAATCCTTCTGTGACTGGTTGCCTTTTATTTATTTCTTTTTCATGCTATAAGGCATCATCCTTTATATCTGTCTGTCTATATGTGAGAAATTCTAAATATTCCATCCAGGAGGAGAAAGCTGGGAGAGATAATATCAAGAATGTTTCAGATAGGAGTGGCTGTTTGATTCAAAATACAGGAATTAGTAGACTTTGGAAGCAGTAGCTGCTGTTGGGCACCGTGGAGGACTTCTCACTAAAGGGCACGGGTGCCGCTTGGAGACACTGTGCTGTAGAGCAGAGCAGTTAAATGCACAAACTTAATAAAGAACTTTTTTTTCAAAGTAATGTGTTTGGTAGCGTCAGTGTTGGGCAGTCACAGGGCCCATTGCCAGGTGAGATGCGCAGGCGTTTGGACGTGAGAGGGCAAAAATACTGCATGAGGGATATTTAGATGAAAAACTTAACGATCACTCTCCAACGTGATGAAAATACCAAAGCAGGGAATTATTACGTGATTCTTGACTTGATTTATTCTTCTTTCTGCTCAGTTTTGTGTCTTTTCCCCGCAGCTGTTTGTTGCTGGTTTGATTGTGCTGCTGTTAGATGAGTTGCTCCAGAAAGGTTATGGCTTGGGGTCGGGTATTTCCCTCTTTATTGCTACCAACATCTGCGAGACCATTGTCTGGAAGGCTTTCAGTCCCACCACCATCAACACTGGCAGAGGTACGTCTGCGATCACAGTTAGTGATGGCATCTCCCAGTGGATGTAAACACAGAAACTATCAGATATTTATCAGATGACTCTTAAAAAAATGTTTTCATGTGTAATGATTAGCTTCTAAAGTCAGTTGTCTGACATTAAAGATGAAAATGTTTTCTGACTAACCTGAAGGTTAATAACCTACAAGTTTGCCTTGGCTGATGTGAATGGCAGTAGTTAAAATGGGACTTGAGGCCCCTTGGCTGATGATTTTTGGATTTCCAAACTGAAATAGTCTTGTTTTAGCATCATTTAGTCCATGGAAACAGAGAAAATAAGGAATTCTGTATGTTCAGAGCAGTTGTTTGTGGTCCAACTGTTGTTTGTGGCTACAGGATACTTTTATAGTTGGTGCCTCCAAATTATTTTCAGCAAGTTTAGTTCTTCAGAGATGTTTATTTCTTAATTCCTCAGCCAATCTTTGACAATGTCTGTTGTCCCCTCGAAATACCAAGTTAAGACACAGCCTGTTTGCATCAAGAAGTTAACTAGTTTAATGCATACATTTGAAATCCTGACCCATGTTTTCAGTTTGCTTTCATTTTCACCTGATTTATAATAGATTTTTTTAATATATATATATAAAATAGTTCATTACTGCTTTTCTAAAGCTATTTTTACAATACAATAGACTATAAGCTATTTTTCTCCTCGTTTGATATTTCTTCCTTCCAATCAATCTCCTGCCAGCAGAAGAGAAAGAAAAAGAGTATTTTTTTTACCCTTTCTTTTTTTTAACCAGGAATAATGTTTTGATTGCTTATTCCATGTTCTGTAAGCTAAACTAGAATCCTCTATTGTGATACATTTGTTATAATAGATTTTATGTCCTATTGTCTCTGATTTTATGTTTCACTTTTAAACTTTCCAAAAGAATGATTTTTTTTTTAATGGTTTTTAATTTACAGTTTAACATTTCTTTTACTCGTTTGCTTCATGCAGGGACAGAGTTTGAGGGTGCTGTGATTGCATTATTTCACCTTCTGGCTACACGAACCGACAAAGTCCGGGCTTTGCGGGAGGCTTTTTACCGCCAGAATTTGCCCAATCTCATGAATCTGATCGCGACAGTATTCGTCTTTGCTGTGGTCATATATTTTCAGGTAAAACCAGAAATTCCTCAAAGTAGCTCTGCAGCTGCCTAGGTAATAGCTGTGGAAAAATGCAGAAGTGAAACTAGAGTAACCCAAGTTGCTCAGCTTTGAGGAAGGAACTCTTTTTTTATTGCAATATTTATTAACGTAGCTCTGTGAGGGTACAGCTGCTCCGTGTCAGAGCCAGTGTGCTCAGTGATGTAACCTCACAGCCATTAAATGCCGCACGCGCTGGGAGAGGATTTTTACTAAAAAATGGATTCTGGGACTGTGGTGTTGGTGTCACACAAATAACATACTTGATATTCAGAGCTGAGTTAAGAGAATACCTTTGGGTAGAGCTAAAGAATGTTGCTTCGTTAGGGTTGTATGTGGTACAGATTTATTTTAGAAAACAACCATTTAATTCATGCATAACTTACTGGTTTTTTCCTAATTTTCTTGAAATACTTAGTGTTGCTTTTTAAATCTAAGTATTTACTAAAATGGGCACTAAAGAAGATTCATACAGTGATGTTATTTTTTAAAATATTTTTCATGGGTCTGGCTAAAATATAATCTTTACTATTATCATTATTATTATTATTATTTTAAGCTCTTGAGTCAAAGTGCTGGCAAAAAAAAATGGAATTATCTGGTTTTCAAGTCCATGTGGCTTTTCTTGGGTCTCCTCAGCTGGGAGCCTGCCCCAGAAACCAGGTGCCTGGGCACAAAATTACACAAAAACTGGCTGCTTAAGTTAAAAGTTTTTATCAAACCCGATGCTATAAAGTGTATTTTAGAGGTATATCATGTAGCAGATGAGAGATAGTATTTATGTAAAAAGAATGTAATGCAACTAAGCAGGAATCCTTCTAAATCCTTAAAGTTTGTAATTCAGGCCGTAGCAGAAAGCCTTTGGGTTTTAGTGCCTTGGACCTTGCGCCCCTTGTTTATCTGGCAAAAACCCTCTGGTCAGGAATCACCTTTAGGCATCCCGGGAATACCTGCTGCCTTGGGGATAAACCTGCTGCTTCTGTGTTCTTTCCCCTAGGGATTCCGTGTTGATTTACCCATCAAGTCCGCCCGGTACCGGGGGCAGTACAGCAGCTACCCCATCAAGCTCTTCTACACCTCCAACATCCCCATCATCCTGCAGTCGGCCTTAGTTTCCAACCTCTACGTCATTTCCCAGATGTTGTCTGTTCGGTTCAGCGGCAACTTCTTGGTGAATTTACTAGGGCAGTGGGCGGTAAGTGTCGTACTTTTTTAACTGCATAAATCCATTTGGATTATGTGTTATTTCATTGGGAAACTCTGGTATTTATGCCGAGTGGCTGAGGGAGCTGGGGGTGTTCAGCCTGGAGAAAAGGAGGCTGAGGGGAGACCTTATTGCTCTCTACAACTACCTGAAAGGAGGGTGTAGAGAGGCAGGACGTTGGTCTCTTCTCCCAAGTCACAGGTGATAGGACAAGAGGAAATGGCCTCAAGTTGCACCAGGGGAGGTTCAGATTGGATATTAGGAAAAATTTTTACACTGAAAGGGTTATCAAACCTTGGGATGGGCTGCCCAGGGAAGTGGTTGAGGCACCATCCCCGGAGGTATTTAAAAGACAGGCTGACATCGTGCTTAGTGACATGGTTTAGTGATGGGTTTTTATCAGAGTTGGGTCGATGGTTGGACTAGATGATCTTAAAGGTCCCTTCCAACCCAGACAGTTCTGATTCTGTGATTCTATTTAAGCAGCAGAAGATGGGAATGCTTACTTTCTAACATCTGGATATAAAAGCTGTTCTAAACATTGAAGAGGAATTCCTCTGGAAATAGGAGATAGGAACGCGAGACATCTGTGAGAAATAATTAATTGCCTTTTTCTCCCCTCTCACAGGACGTCAGTGGCGGTGGCCCTGCTCGCTCGTACCCCGTTGGTGGCCTGTGCTACTACTTGTCCCCTCCAGAATCCATGGGTGCAATATTTGAGGATCCTGTCCATGTGATAGTTTATATCATATTCATGTTGGGATCCTGTGCGTTCTTCTCAAAGACTTGGATTGAGGTGTCCGGTTCCTCAGCAAAAGACGTAGGTGTTCTGATAAACGTCCCTACATATTTCCAAACGCTGCCCTTAATTAAGAGCTGACTGGTTCCTAACTAATCAGTCATTGCTCTGATTAAATAGCGGGTGACTATGAAACGCGGCAGCAGTTGTCAGAAAATGCTGGTTTTTGCAGGTTGCCAAGCAACTCAAGGAGCAGCAAATGGTGATGAGAGGCCACAGGGACACTTCCATGGTTCACGAGCTCAACAGGTAAGGGAAGGCTGGCTCCTGGCGGGGCTGGGGGGTGGGAGTGCTGGGAGTGCTGGGGGGTGTCAAACACAGCAGACATTCTGAGAAAAATCTGAGACCCGTTTCCAGCACAAATACCAAGATTCCTCCCATTCAGCTCCTTTCCTAGGAACACAGAAGATGTTTATAGCAGTAGGTAAGAGATGAACCGGCTGAGTCTTTTGTTTAAGCGACATAATGAGGAAATTTGGGATGAGTCCCCTCCATGTTTGTAAAAGGAAGATACCTTGATTTTTCCCAGGTGTTGAATTTACCGTTACTGAACTAAGATGACACTACAAAAGCAGTATTTTATGCAGTAGGCAAAGCCTGAAAGGTAGATTCATCCCTACATATTTAAATCAAAGCAGTTCTTCTTGGTCCTGCGGAGGCTACAGAGCATGCATAGATATAAAACTGTTATAATTTCAATTGCAAAGCTTTGCCAGTGCTGAGTTATTCACACAGTTTTCCAATCAGTGAATATTTCTCTTAGTTTCTTCTTGATACAAACATGGAAGATGGGGAGAGCTAATGGGAGAGCTGCATTGCAACGCCAGCTTTGTTGCTCCATATTGTAGCTGGTTGTTTTAATAGTTGATGTATTGTCAGAATCCTTGGGTGAAAATTCCTGGTTATGAATCCCTTGTTGTTGTTGTTGGCACAGGTACATCCCTACAGCAGCTGCCTTTGGTGGTTTGTGCATCGGTGCCCTGTCGGTCCTGGCTGACTTTCTGGGAGCCATCGGGTCGGGCACCGGCATCCTGCTCGCCGTCACTATTATTTATCAGTATTTTGAAATCTTTGTAAAAGAACAGGCTGAGGTTGGAGGAGTAGGTGCATTATTTTTCTAGATGTCCAAATATTTCATGGTTTGTGTGAAAGGGAAAGTATTTTGACGACACGTGTCATTTAGTCCAATAACGCTATTTCCTTTTGACTTGTTTTAAAGTGCTCCATGTCCCATGACTGTAATGGGCACCGAGCGATGCCCGTGCGCAGCGTTAGTACCAGCTGCCTTAAGAATAAAGTTTACATTCTCTTGTTTAAGTATTATCTAGTGTTGCCTGTAATGCTGGAAACCAATTCATCTACCTTGCTGTTCAGACACTCCAGGGAGATGGGAAAACGGAGCAGTTGGATAGAGGTAAACATTTTTGCACACAGCATTAAAGCATTAAAATTATTTCCCTGTCCTTAATAGGAAAAGAAAAAAAAAAAAAAAAAAATCTTGAGTTCCGATTGCCACGTGCCGATGTTCTCGACAAAATTTATTTGTAGCCTGTATTTTACATTCAGTTTTTTATACTTTTTTTTGTTTTTAACTGGCATTTCCCCATCACTGAGCTCGGCGCTCCTTGTTCCTTTGTGCTGTCTCCACCCTCTGAGCTCTGAGGGTGGGAGGGTGAAGGTTTTACCGGGCACCGATTCTCCTCTCGCCCCTGAAGCGGTTCCGTGGTGGGTTTGCTGCATGGGGGGCCCTGGGCACCCCCGGGACACAGCCCGGTACCCGCTGTCGCGCTCACCAGTCAGCCCAGTCGTTTTTTGTTTCAACACGTACTTGTGAGAAATCTTGAGTTCCGATTGCCACGTGCCGATGTTCTCGACAAAATTTATTTGTAGCCTGTATTTTACATTCAGTTTTTTATACTTTTTTTTGTTTTTAACTGGCATTTCCCCATCACTGAGCTCGGCGCTCCTTGTTCCTTTGTGCTGTCTCCACCCTCTGAGCTCTGAGGGTGGGAGGGTGAAGGTTTTACCGGGCACCGATTCTCCTCTCGCCCCTGAAGCGGTTCCGTGGTGGGTTTGCTGCATGGGGGGCCCTGGGCACCCCCGGGACACAGCCCGGTACCCGCTGTCGCGCTCACCAGTCAGCCCAGTCGTTTTTTGTTTCAACACGTACTTGTGCAAACTGTGCCACTGAAACTCCATCTCCACTTTGCTTTGGTGAGTCCCGAGAAGGAGGCCTGGTTCCTCGATGGGCGTTGGGAGGAGGGAACGGGGAGGGGGAACGAGGAGTTCCTGCTGAAAATTTATTTATGTTGTCGCGCTTTCCAGCGGCAATGTAACAACTGTAAACGGTAGACAATAAACTTATTTAATTAAGCTCTCTCCTGTGTCTTGTCTGTGCAAGATGTAATTCATATGCAAATTTTGATCGCTTCTGACATGCTTTGTTAGTGAGGTAGGTCACAGAATCAAAGGATGATATGGGTTTGGAAGGATGATCTGGAGATCATCTAGTCCAACCCTCCTGCCAAAAGAGGTCCACCCAGAGCAGGTTGCACAGGAATGTGTCCAGAGAAGGAGACTCCACCACCTCCCTGGGCAGCACGGTGAGCTCTGTCACCCTCAAAGTGAAGAAGTTCCTCCTCATGTTTAGGTGGAACTTCTTATGTTCCAGTTTGTGCCCATTTCCTCTTGTTCTGTCCCCGGGCACCACTGAAAAAAGACTGGCCCCATCCTCCTGACACCCTCCCTTTAATTATTTATAGGTGTTGATCAGATTCCCCCTCAGTCTTCTCCAGATTAAAAAGCCCCAAGTCCCTCAGCCTCTCCTCATAAGGGAGATGCTCCAGGCCCCTCATCATCTTTGTAGCCCTCTGCTGTCCCCTCTCCAGCAGTTCCCTGTCCTTCTGGAACTGGGGAGCCCAGAACTGGTCCCAGTGCTCCAGATGGGGCCTCCCCAGGGCAGAGCAGAGGGGCAGGATGACCTCTGGAAGGCTCTTTTTTTTAATCTTTATCCTTTCCAGAATGTAATTCTGATCAGTTTTTAACAGCCTGAATTAAAGAACAAATCTCAAGGTTCTTCTCCTTAAAAATCATTGAGCTTTTCCACTCAGCTGTAATCAATGGCTCTTTCCCTTCAATTTCACACTTCGATCTTTTCTGTCTTCTCTCATGTTTTGCTTGAAAGTAACTCTGTGTGGTTGGTGAAGGTAAGAAAATCTTCAGCAAGCTTTCTGCTTCATGGCTGGGCTGGAAAAGTCTTTTTAATGATGCGTGCTCACCCAAATTCATTTCAGAGCAAGGCTCTGACATTAGTACATGGTTATTGCAGCTCTTAGACCCTAACCTTTAAGCAGTGGTGGTTGGTTACGGTAGCAGAAGCTGTGGACTGGCTGCAGATACCCTGCAGGGCTGTTTGGTGAAAGACATACCTAGATGTGATGAGAGCTGTGTCCTACACCCTCTGGTGCACACCAGCGGAGGGCTTGTCGTTCTGTCATCATCCTCCTCCTCACAGTCATTATTTTCTTAGATCAAACAAACCCATTCTCACTTTTCCGGATAGTTTAGCTGGGGCTGAGAGAAGGCAGCAACACCTTCAGGTCTAAATCACAAAAGGAAGCTCCTGGGGCTGCTGTTCCAAACCCTGCAGCCTGGGCACGCACCACACACCCTGTCCCTCGGCACCTCTCGCTGCTCCTGCCATGGAAAACGTCCTGCAGTTCTTCAAACGCTGCTGCTTGTGAAGGAGAGAAAAGAGGGCTCTTCCTGCCGGCCTCGGCTCGTTACACACCTCGTTACACGGCCTCCCTCCGCTGAGATGTGAGTGCAATGACAAATACAGTGAGAAACGGGCCACTCTGAAAATTAAGCAGCGTTTTTATTATGATTATTCTGTCAGGACTTGATAGACCGAGCAGTCAGAAGAAATGCTTTTTGATAGTTACATAATTCCAGATAAAAATATCAGAATCATTCCTACAAATGCTTTTTTTTTTCCTTGCTCTACAAGTAGAGCAGAGGACCTTTGTTACAAGAAGAGTTAGACTTCTAAGCCATCTGAATTAGGCAGTTTTCAACTCGATTTCTCCTCGTCCGGTTCTAGAACTTCATGAAAGGGACTTGGAGCGGTTTTTCTGCCGCACGCTTCAGGGCCAAGGCGTAAGTGTAGACCCTGGCATCCACTGCAATGTGCTCTTCTGCTATGAGTTCTGAAAATTAAAAAAAATAAATCAATGATGAGATGTTGTTAGAACTTCTCTACGGAAATGTAAGTCCTTTACTAAAACGAAGCATTCCAGGTGACTTTTTAATGCTAACACCTAATGCTGTCACGAACTGAGACCTGGCCAAGTCTCTCTCAGCTTTTTGCTGGAGGTGATGCAGTATTTTGGGATGAGAAATGCTGTGAGGAGCTACGAGGTGAGAAGCTAAAGGTTTCTTGAAGCTCATTTTTTATGTCAGAAAGCTCTTACCGTCAATCCTTTGCAGCAGGTCGTTCTTCGGAAGTGAAATAACTTCCACAAATTCTAAGAGAGAAGAAAAATAAATGTATGCACCTTAAAATTAGTGACCAGTAGAGGAAGTAAATCGACTTCAGCGTCCTGTTTCTTACAGTTCAGAAGGGGAAACAAACTGGCTTAATGCTCATCACCATCCCAAAGCTGGGAGCCTTCATGGATCGCCACAAAGGCCAATTAAATGGGGGAAGGCAGTGACCAGGGTAATTAAAAAACAGGTTTGGCAGAAAGAGCTGGGGAAAACGGTGTAACTGACAGTTATGGGGGATAGTAATCCTGAGAGACCTCCCTCCTGAGTGTGGAAAATACACTGCTGAAGGGGACTTGGGGTTGGCTTATATTGTACAGGGATGGATTGATTGTAGATGTGTTTGAAAACCCAAAGAGCACTCAGAGAAATGAGTTTGTCCCTGATGAATGTGTGCTGGCTCACACTGCCCCTGTCCCTCTGCATCCCCTGGCTTTGGGGCTCCATCCACAGCTGTGGCGTATTCGGTCATTTGTATCATCTCCTCAGGTACCGGGGCCATGGGGACAATACCTGAAGTGACAATGCCCCTCAGGAATTTCCACCTCTAAGCTAAAGCCAATCTCATGCGTGTATAATTAGGGTCAGGATATTAACCAAACCCAAATAAAAAAAACAGTTTGAACTGACATTTTCTAAGTAAAACTTGCCATGCAGAGATCACACTTGACCTTACTGTCACTCTGAGCCAGCTACGTAACGTACCTCCGTCATCTGTAATGAAAACCAAAGAAGCAGTAAGTTAAGGATTTTGAAATACATGTGAGTTTACAACTCAAAAGCATCTTGATAGGTGACTGATTGATTGACACTAATTACTCCCAGCTCCAAGCCACAAATAAGAGGAATTTCTAGGTTCACAGTGCTTATGGCCCCCACTGAAGTTTGGCACCTAAATTTCTCATTCTGGGCGTGCCAGCACCGGACACAACATCCAGGCCTCCCCAGTGAATTTAGCAAAGAAACAGGGCTCTGCTCATCTAGAGTGATTTGAAGGACGTATGGCATCTAAGTCAGCTGGGAGCAAAGAGACTCAGTGGTAGGGATAGTTCTTTTAAACCCCGTCTGTCATTATTTTTAAATATTTTAAAATTTTTAAATAAATGCTACAAATTTTTAAATAAATAGTACAAAACTCACCGAGTTTTTGCTTGGGTCTTGTATTCTCAGCATCATCTCCGTTAATGGTGACGCTCACGATGTGTGTCGAGCTGTTTGACAACCCTGGGTCCAAGCAGAGAGCTGCCAACAAGGACAGGAAGAGGGTTATTTTTCAAAAGCAGAACTCGGGGACCTTGATATTTTAACAAAAGCCGTCACAGAAATATACCTGATACAACAGGAGAACATATATTTGGCGTATATTCATGCTGGAAGACTTGTGCAAAGTTTGCTTTCACAAGTTCTTAAAAGTAATGTTTCTGTAAGATTCCTCCTAAAACTTGTTTTCAGCGCCAAGGTTTGCTTTCCATTCCATAGACTGAAGACTAAACTGTAACCTATATATACTTATATATATATATTTACATACCTTATAGACTTTCTCAGCCCATTACAGTCTAATTCTGCCCTCACCAGTCTCCATCTCTCAGTCCCCAGCAAACATCTGTACCCAAGATGTCCCAGTCTCAGCTGTAATGACCTTTACTTGAAATCCTATGCAAGTTCCTCACCTTTCTGCCCACCTTCTCACATTTTCTTTATGGTTCTCCTTTTGCCTCCATTTTGCTTTATGTAGGAAGCACTGGATTGGCAACGGCCACATTCCAAAGGATCTCTGGATTTACTCCAGTTATTCTCTCCTTCCTCCCTTCTGGTTGGAGAACCCGTGTACTGTCACCTCCCCACGGCTGACGTGAAGGTGGCCTCTGCTCAGACTGCATCATGCAGCTGGTTTTTCTCCCTAAGTTCATGGATGTTGTTCACATTAATTTAGCAATTTAGACTTTTATACTAAAATGCTAAATCCCAGCTTGAGTAGTTCAGTTTTGTGTAAAGTATCTTAACTGCAAAGTTTTCCCCTACAGACATCAAGCTGTTGCTCTGGCCCTGTGTGTTTAACAGGAGCTCAGGCTCATTGGGATAGTGCTCCCTGCTGACCTGTAGACTTTTCTGCATAGATTTTTCCTGGAGTTTAGAGCATTTTAGACATTTAGAGTACCCATCAAAGACAGAATTAGTTTGGAAAAATAAAATGAAAAAAAAAAGAGCAAAGACCTGGAGTACATTCAACGACTTCCCCCTTGTACCCGGTTTCTTCCTCCAGCTCTCGCAAGGCAGCGCTTTCCGCAGTCTCATTTTCCTCAATGAGGCCTGGGAGAGAAATATTATACAAGAACCATTTACAAACCATCACCACTTACCCCCCGTGCCCATCCTGAGGTCTAAGCCAGCTTTACAAATGAGGTGAAACATTGTGTCACTGCCCTATTTCTACAGAGGGATAAATGGAGGCATCCAGAGGGATTCCAGCTGCAGGCTTCATCACGCTGCTGCCCATGTCTTCAGCTGGTTATCCACGGAAGCGTGTGGCCTTTCCCAGGAAATGACATTGATTTTCTCATGAGGGAAAGAAGCCAAATGCTTCAGCTCTTACAGAAAGGAGGTGTGGAGGGAAATGCAATATTCTACCAGCAGGTCACTCTGCAAAATGCCTCCAATCTGCTAAAAGCAACTATGTTTATTTTGTATTCTTCATTATCAAATACTCCTATTTCTGAATAGCACACTGAGCTAACAGAGCTCACCGCAATCTTCTGGTTAGAGCTACTTCATCAACCGTGACACTCTGAGCACATCTAAAGACACATTTCAGTCACTCACCTGCAGGAAATTCCAGGCAATAGCCGTTAATTGGGGGCCGGAACTGTTTCACCAGGACGATGCAGTCGTAGTGCAGAGTCCTCTGTAGCACCGCTATCACTGCTACACCTACACACAGCCAGGGAAGACACAAGGACATAGAATCTGAGTAGAACAGAAAGTGAGTATTTAGTGCTAGATCTGGAAAGGAAGCCAAGCGGTGTTACTCTGAGCATTAAATGTTTAGATGCCTCCTCCAGAATCCTGAGCGATGAGTTTAAGCTCCTTATATCTTGCATAATGAGAGATAAAAGCCCAAAATGGGGTCTTCAAAATACCCCAGCAAACGAGAGGCACATGTACCAAGCAAGACCGAGCCTCAGCTCACCAATCCCTAGGGAAGGGGGCTCTTGCCTGCGGAGACCGTTTGAAGTCATATGGAATCCCCTCCTACACTCCTTTCACAGCTAAACCATGTCCCTCTTTTGCCCAAAGAGAAGTGTATCCCTTGCCCCTACCAGCAGACCCAATTCACCCGTCTGTGAGCTGCTCTCTATCAGGGCAACCATCACATCTTTGAAATCGCTCCGTCGTTCTAAAGTGAATACAATGATCTTGGTAAAAAAACACTCCTTCCAGGGAGGCTCTGGTTCTTCAGCCCTGAAGTCAGCATTCCATTAGCCCGCGCTTGCTCAGGGGCACAGCAACCTCTGCTGAGCTATTTGTTCTGCATCCTCATCCATCCAGAAACGGACGGGCTCTAACGCTGCGCTGAGTTTATGAGAAGAACTCTCACAGGAAAAAAATCAAAGTGAAAAAAAAAGTCACCAATGTCTTACCATCAGCTGAAACGCCCTTCTTGTTGCCAGTACGCTTTACAGTTTCCCAAGTTCTGTTTAACACAGTGAAAAGAACAAATGAATACATTAAAAGGAACAATATCTACTTGTAAGTCTTCTTCTACCCTTGCTTAAAAGCAAAATATACCATCACACAGTGAGGCCCAGTAAGAAGGCAGCTGGCCTTAGACAAGCCCTGGCATGTGCTGGCACTATAAAATGTCTGTAGTAGAATTTTGTTTTGCCTACCTAAAGGAAGGAGAGAGAAAGACATAAATGATTGGCACAGAACAGACAAGTCTTATAAAAGCGATTCTGGAAAAGCGCAAAATAAAGCAATTTATATATTAAACACGTCAGATTTTGAAAGACAGTTTTGTAACAAGACCATGCGCATTCTATCTTCTATCTTGCTTTTGCATAAGGTTTATAGTGAAAGTCACTGTGAACTCTCAGCTCGGTTACTGCTGCAGATGAGGAGCACAAAGGCAAGGAAGAGGAAAGCTTCTCTCGCAAAATAAGCAATGGGATGAGTAAAAAACAAAAATCCACCAGCAGTAGAAATCCTTTCACAAAAGCTCCAATCTTTGCTATTTTTTAGAAGGCTACTTTGCTGATGAACTGGGAGGCACTAGAGAAAGCAAACAGTACAGAATCTAATAGATTAAGGGGGGGAAGTAAAGCCGTGGTGTCACATCTAGATAAATACAGCAAAACTGAAGCACAGAGAAGAACCGAACGGGTGTGACAATATACAACAGGCCAGTAACTTGTCAGTAGTATGCAAGATCCAGCACCATCAGCAGGGAAAAAAGCCCTTAATGAAGAAGCAGAAAAGCCACAATGAATTCTCTGATCATCACGGTCTATTTGCAGAATTAGAACTTGCTTCTGCGCAGCCTCTTGACAAGGGACAGAAACTAGTAAGTAAACCAGGGTCCAATGCCCAAGAGACTTGGGAGCCAAACTTGAGCCCACGCGCTGGTCCAGCTGCCAGAGCAAGACTTTTTTTTTTTTCCTCTGAACAGTACGAACTATAAAGGAATTGCACAATGAAGAGATCTCATCTGGTGTTGAGCAATAGGTTTGTAACACTCACATTCTCCAGCCTGGGGCTGGCCCGCACAACTGGGAACCATTACAGGAATCTGAAATGCCAGAGGGCAATTACCTGGTTTTACCAAAGGGATCAGTGTAAGTTGTTTCTTCAAGCTTCAACCATTTTCTTTCTACGATTACCTAAAATAAAGAATTCTTTGTTATACACATTATAAGATCAATCCCAAAGAGGTTTGGGGCTTAAGGAGAGAAACAACACAACTATTTTTGGATTCTTTTGAAGACAAAATCTCAGCATCAGAATACATGCAGGACTGTGCAACAACATTCCTGTAGCTAATATGGAAAAAAAAATACATTTACTCCTAGTCCTTGAATAGGAATAGAAATTAAGTCCTTTTCTTAACTTGACTTTTATAATCAAGTTTCAATGAATTCAGTGGAAAATCCTCATCTTTTCAGAAGGATTTTACAAAGGTCATGTTTCAGCAGAGAAAGAAAAAGGGGGCACTGGTCTGCCCGGACTTTAGCTACGCTGGTGATCGCGAGCACCCACTTATCAGAGGGCACGGCCTAACATCTAAACATGCAAGACCAAAAACCAAACTATTTTGAAACTTTTCTTGCCAGGATGTCAGGCTGTGCCCTTGTGTAAACTGCTGTTTTCTGTAACTGCGAGCAGTGATACATACCTGCCCTTTTTAGGAGAGCTGCTGATTGAGTGCTTGGCATTAACATTATTACAAAATGTCTATTCTGAGCTAAATGACTTTATTTTCCCCGTGATGTTTCCTCATCTTTTACGTAATTACTTTAAAAGAGAAAAATCCCTAGGTATTAGCCCAGCAGTTCACTTCTTTTAATGTAACTTGTATTTTAAGCTTTGCTAAAGGTATAGGCAGACAAGAAGCTCGTCTCCAAAATTTTGTATCAAGTTGGCCATAGGTCTGACCACAGAAATCAGAAATAATCAGCAAGATAATCAAATTACTTCCTATTGTCTAACGAGACACGCTGCTGACAGCAACAGAACAAGCATAAGCAAGGGGAAAAGAGGATCTGGGAGAAAACCCACAACATTAAATTGTAGCAAAGGATGAAGTCCGAGAGGCCATTCATGTAGTTGGACACTACAATCCTCTGACACAGGACAAGGGCCCGTGTGGCCGTGTAGATCTTGAAATTAACAGTGAGAGACTCACCAACTAAAAAAAGAACAGAGAAATGAAATGTACTATATGATGCAGCTATAACTGGAGTACAGAAGCGCAGTCCAGCATCAGCTGGAGGCAGAAGGCAAATCAGAAGCGATTCAGGTGTCCAGTAAATTATAACTGAGCTGGATGAACTCATGTAATTCTTAAAATGTGTTCTTCAGAACAATTCTTTGGATAGGCATTTGAAATGACAATCGCACTCCTATGGCTGTAAACACAGCTTGTAATCACAGTTTTGGCATTTATTTTGGAAAGTATATTTCCACATAAGAGGAATTGGCAAAGGAGAGCTATGTGTTCTGAAAGGGGCTTTCTAATGGCTCTGTGGTCACAAAGCCAGAAAAGAGAAGGAAAGAAGAAGATGAACTATATTATGCTGATTGGGGGTTGGACAAGATGCTCTCCAGAGGTCCCTTCCAACCCCATGTGATTCTATGATTACAGGTACAAGAAGTAATTCCCTTTGGAAGCATTCAGGTGTATTTAAAATAGCTTTGCATCCACTCCTAGATCAGTGCAGAACTAAGGCACAGGAAGATTCAAAATGGAAACAGATGAAAATCGTGTTCCATTGGTTATTCAAGGAGAGGAATAAATATACTTCAGTTAAGTAAACACAGCCAGACATTTTGTGTTAATGAATTTTTTTTAAACATCACAGAGAACACAAAGGATTAGATTATTGATCGTGGTCCCTTACTGCTGCAGCATTCAACCGAACTGGCAGATCAGATCATTACCCCTGTCATCAAGTTACCATTTGCTAAGAAGAAAGGGGAAAATGGTTGAAATTAGAACCATACCATGGTCCCCAGGAATCCTGGAGGAAAAAGAGATCCCTAGTTTGTAAGAAATTAGACCTATTCAAGCTCCAAAAAGACAAAATTAAAAAAAAAAAAAGAAAAAAGAAATAAGTAGGTTTTAAGTGTACAAAACAAACCACCTCACACAAAGTGTCTTATTTTAATCAGATATTCTTAAGTTTTTGGCCTCTACTGTCACGGAGCAATAATTAAAAAGTACTACAGGTCATGTAGCATAAATATTTACAATGGAAGTGTTCCACAATCCTCTAAAGTTAAGTCAAACCCTTGCTGCTAACAGCCTGCAGGGTGAGAAAACAGAAAGTTGTCACGTTTCCCTAGAAAAAACTGAGAATTTTGTCACCTGCCTTGTCGGATGCGCAATTAAAACCTGTGGAAGCTGGCCCAGAAGTGTAACTTCTGCTTTGCTAAATCCTCTACTTAGGGCCTCAGGACACTTTGCAGGATGTGTTGCACTTACCATACTCAGTTTTAGAATGATTTATTTTTATTCCTTTACCTATTACTTTGATGGGCAAATAATATCTGCTTTTGCTTACAGCAGCCTGACTGTGGGTTCCCAGAAGCAGGAAGAAGGAAGTAAGATCAGCTGCTACTTTCATGAAAGAAGATATTCCAACATCAGACCATGTAGTTACTGAAGAGTCACAGAACCACTTTCAATATAAGGGCCATTGGCAGAGGCACGGTAAATACTCTCCCACATTAATCCCACAAAATGACTGAAAAAACTAAGTAGCTTAAAATATGTAAACTCTAGTTACAAGTTTCCAAGGACACCAAAGAGTAAAACATTCCAAAGGAGAAGGACTAATAGGTCTTAATAGAAAACCCCAAAAGCTTACAAAAATTAACTTCTTTATGCTTGAGAAATATTCATAGTAAAAAAACCCCAAGGGGAAAAGTCATAAATATACCCCAATAATGTGAGTCTCTTCTTTCTGACAAAGTTTTGTGCCTTGAAATTGAAAGAAATTACAAGACTATGTTCATTTCAAGGAAAGAACACTGGATAAAAGAAACTACACGTGTGCTATAACAGCGTTGATGCTGTTTCCAAACCTGCCTTTAGCACCATTCATTTAAAAGAGAATAGAAACAATATTTAGTAGTTTAAATTAGGGTGCAAGCGCTCCTAATAAGCACCCAGAAGTAACTCCAAATTCCCTCCTCAGGACTGAGTATTTTCTGATTCTGTGAGCGCAATATTTTTTGAAAAAAATCTTACCACTTCCTTACTAATGTCTTTAGAACAGCAATTACCTAAATTCAAACTCTTTCAGAAAGCATCAAAGAAGGTACAATCCTAAATGTTAAGGTAACCCTCAGTGGTTCATCCTAAAGGAAAGGAAACAAGGCTGAGCTTCATGATCCACTCGTTTCCACAGTCTCTCGGAGGTATCAGCATTATTTCTGAACATTGAAATCGGCTTGAACAGACAATACAAGAAACAACTGCAAAATTCTAAAACAAAAGCAGCTTAAAATAGTGCAACACTGTAGACTTCTCTCTCCCCATAGATACTTCGTATGATTATTTCAACAAAGAGAAATGTCACCTATTTTAAACTCTCTGACCATCAGGAAGAAGTATTTTGTCTATTGAACAGATTTTACAAATGTACAGCATCTATAGCATTTCTTACTCTGCACCCACAAGCATTCTGACCAGTCTCAAGTAATTGTTATTTAACAATTAAACATGTATCAAACCCCAAGCATGCTATACCTCTTCTTTAAGGACGAATTGTCTAGCAGTTTTTGGAACTTCTGTGGATGTCTCAGCTGCCATTTTCAGGAATGTCAGGCTCTTCCCCCTCCTGTGCAAAGTCCAGATTACTATGAAACAAAGTCAATATTTGCTTTCAGAGTAAAGTTAAAAGGTTCACTTCTGCATTGTAAATTAACAAATAAAACTTTCTGGAGAAAGTCAGGGCATGTGATGGCAAGTGCCATTCACATTTTCAGCTTCACCTGATGGTTTCAGAGTCAAACAATTCAAAGGAGAAGCGGAAGTTTGGGTCAAATCCTTGACTTACATAGATGTAACAGCCCTATCAGCTGCTGAGTAGCTGTGCTGGCTGAAGACACCCTCCAAAACTATTCAAAGGGCAGACACACACAGGGACAGAATTGATCTAATTTAGTCAAATCGTTTCATTCTGATCTGGGTGAAGTGTTCTGTCAACACAGCGTTACCACAACAGGACTACGGACTCCGCTGTGAAAGTGGAAAAAAATCTTGCATTAAGCAGAGTTCGGGGGTAAAAATGACCCACTACTGAGAAAGAACCAGAACTAGAAACTACCTCCACCTTACACACATCACAAATAAACAAGTAAATGACTCAATCCTTCTCCCAAAAAAACAAGGTCAAAAAGTCACCCCTGTGTTGCAAGTCTAGGTGGCACGTGGAGGTAGCGTGACCAAAGCACGTCAGTCTCTCCTACTGGGAAGGAGGTGGCTAACACCATGCGAAAGGCAACTGAACTCTTAGCATTGATGGTCATAAACTTTCCATAAAGTCAACAGGAATCTTTCCGTTGACTTCAAATGGGATTTCAGTAAGGCTCTGGGGGGGTCTCCAGCAATGAACAGTACCAGAAGTGTGTGATCACCTTCCCTGTTGTACTCAGTTTTGGCACTTTCATTTTTTACTTCACCTTTATCCTTTTATGGTAACATCTGCTGCACCTTTGTGAAACATGTAAGAACATGCACCAACATGAGCTTCCTTACATATAAGATTTGCATTTAATTCCACAAAGTAGTTAAGAGGAATAGGTAGTACAAAATATTTCTGCTCGTCAGCAGGATCAAATCTAACTTCCTCCAATAAAAATCCATAAATCCATTTCCTAAAAATGTACACAGTGCAGGCTCTTTCTTAAGTCTTAAAACAGTCTTGTTGGATGAAATAGGTTACAGTGATCAATCATTCCAATTATCTTTCTGTAACAAATCCTAAAAAGGAACCCTGACTTATTAAATACAGTTCTGTTCTTTTAAAACCTGTTACATCATCCTTTCTTGAAGCAATGAAGCTCCATCTTAAAACCACATAGGTTTACTATCCACCTTATTACTACTTGATGAAAAACTGTTCTAGAATCTCACTTATCTTCCATTTTCTATCCCCCATTAGTTCAGTTAGCCGTTACCCATTTGCTCTTGAGCCAGCAATGTCTCAAACTCTTTTCACTTAGGACTGGAGAATGGCATGGCATCTTGCGGTGCCTCTAAAATACAAGATCAGGCTTTCCATCAAACTCATGCAAAAGAAGCACAGCCCAGCTCAGCAGTTCCAAGAGGTTCCTGGTCATCCAGAGGAAACAGCAAAGGAGGCTCTGTGTGATACCCGAAGTATCCAGCTTTAAAAATGTAAAACCCTCACATACCTAGTTACAAGAAATTCACCTCCTATGTTTGGAAAGAATTGCAACCTTTTTGACTGACAATATAAACATATCAAGAGTGTAGATGGTGAACCATATCCTTGTTAAACTTTGGTTTGGGTTATTTTTTGATCAGGCTGACTAAGTCTTCCTCTTCTATTCTCCCCTCACAGGAAATCCTGTTCCATTGATCATACTAATCCTTCCACATGAGCTTGCAAGTATCAGTGTATCTTTCTCAAACACGGATTACCACAATTGAACCCTAAATCCCACAAGCAGCTCTAGTAATGGTTTGTACAAGGGCATTAAACTTACCTATAGCAGTTACAAGTACATACTAGAACCTCATCTCACAGTGAAGCTCTTCTCAACGTAGCTTGCTCTCTTCTGCAGCAGAGAGATTCGAGGGTGGCTTGCGACTTAAAATAACAAAAAATTACACAGCTTCAGTGGTTACAATGATCACTAAAATCTAAAATAGGTGAAAACGAGAAGTCTATCTCAGCTTCTGCAGTTTCCAACTCCTCCACAAGTGGGTGCAATAACTCTATGTATGAGCGACATTTTCAAAAGTTCCACCAAAAAGTAATTTTTTCCAAATTCCGCTGACTGTACTGAAGCGAGAAGTTCTGCTGTTAGAAAGCTGAAGTATCTTTTGGTGAAACGGAGGCTGCCATTCTGGTATCTCACATTACTCACACTGCCAAGGGTGGCAACACCTTTTCTTCATAAGATTAGCTGCAACTGAAAATTAAACTTGACACTACAATGTTAGGTCTCTCAAGCCCCATGTTAGGTTTCAGAATAGACCTTGTCTCGCAGCCCTCAGACAGAAAAGTTCTTCCATCTCATAAAATTACCACAGCATCATTGGAGTTTAAAAATGCAACGCAGCTCCCACAGCAGCCTGGGAACCCAACTACTCGACTTAACGATTGCATACTCAGGCCTGAAAAAGGAATACCATTTATATAAGGTGTAACTTTATTCCTGTTGCTTATTCTTTTATTGTACGGCTTTCTTTTCAAGGCAACGTCCAACCTTTCTACAGTTTCCAAACTATCCTTCCCAGGAGTTAAAATCCTAAGCCAACTGAGGCCTGTGAATCAGCTTAGAGCGCTACCAAGCTACCGGGGCTTTACATTAAACTATCCAAGTCACGATAGATGGATTAGCTTCTCTAAATCGCTTCTCAAAAGGTATTCTCTGATCCAAACTACACATCCCAGCTGAGAGCGACCAGATTTAATGGAAGCTCAGCAATGGTGTCCTAAGCCAAGCTCAAGATAAAATAAAATAGCAGGTTTCTAATGAAGAGTGTGCAAAATGGACACCGGCAGTGGTTTATGCACAATTTAACCAACAGCACGCTGAGATAGGCGTCCTGAAGACAAACATCACTAAAAGCTCCTAAGTCACTTTAAACTTGTTACCACCAGTCAGCATGCTTGCATTTCACAGAACTGTATGATCACCCGATTGAAAGGGACCTTTAAGATCATGGAGTCCAACCAACACTGCCAAAACCACCACTAAACCACGTCCCTCAGCACATCTGCCCGTCCTTTAAATACCTCCAGGGATGGTGATTCCACCATTTCCCCAGGCAGACTGTTCCAATGTTTGACAACACTTTTGGTGAATTTTTATTTTTTTTTTCTTCCTAAAATCCAATCTCAACCTTCCCTGACATAACTGGAGGTCATGACCAGATAGTTCCCTCTCCTTTGTGAAGTGGAAAGCCCAGAACTAGACACACTACTCCAAATGTGGCCTCACCAGGGCACGGTAGAGGAGGAGGATGACCTCCCTCGACCTGCTGGCCATACTCTTTTCAATGCGCTCCAGCAGACCACTGGCTTTCTTAGCCACAAGAACACATCGTTGCCCCATGGACAACTTCTTGTCCACCTGGGACTCCCAGATCCCTCTGCAGAGTTGCCTTCCAGAAGGTCAACCCCTAACCTGCACCAGTGCATGGAAACCCTACACAAGCACATGCAAAGCAAGAAAGGAAAGCCCGCTAGGCGGGGAAAAAACACCTCCAGCTCCTTTAAAACCACCCGTGTTCTCCAGGTAACCGCCTAGGAACGTCCCCCCCCGCCCCGGCTCAGGCCACGCACACGTACGAGGCCGGGAGAGCGGTCCGGCAGCTGAGGGGAGGCGCTGCCGCGGGTGGGTGAGGTGAGATCGGGGACGACCGGGACCGAGGAGCGTTGAGGCGTCGGTGTCTGAGGTGAGCTGAGGCGAGGGGACCGTGTGCAGCGCTGAGGCGGGGCCGTGTAGCGCCGCGCCGTGCCGTGTGCAGCGCCGATGGCGGGCCGGGTGGCACCGAGAGCTGAGGGAACTAAGGTTCCGAGCGGAGCGGGAGCTTCCGGGAGCGGTGTAGCGGGGTGGGGGTAAACGGGCCGCACCGGGGTCGAGTGAGGGGGAGGATGAAGAAGGAGCAGGTGGTTCGCTGCCAGTTCTCCGTGTGGTACCCGCTCTTCAAGGCCGTCACCATCCGCAGGTGAGGGGAGGGGTTTGGGGCTGGGGGTGGCTGGGCCCTGGCGGTGTGGGGCTGGGCTGGATGTAGGCCTAGGCCGGGAAAAGCAGGGTGTGTGGAGGGGTGTAGGTGTGTGGGGGGGTGCTGGGCTGGGTTGGAAATGGGTTTGGGTGAGATTAAGGGGACCTGTGTGGTACAGAGCTGGGATGGAGGTGAGGAAGGCTTGACCAAACTGGAGTTCCAGGAGTTGGGGGCTCCTTCCTACACCCTGAGGGGGTGTTTTGGGCAGGCCAGGCACCCCTGCCCTCCTGGTGGGACTGATAGCCACATCATTGTTCATCCCACTTGGTTGCTCAAAGCAACTGAGGCTGAACCCACCTAAACCAAGTGGCTGACTTCATCTTTCTATGTGTTTCTGGGAGGTATAGCAAATTCTGCAGTCTCTAAGGTGCTGCTGCACGTCATCACGAGATGTTTGGGAGAACTGCTGGTAACTCGGGAAAGTCAAGCTCAGGATAGTTGGTCTGTTGGATCAAAAAGTGCTGACAGCAGACTTTAGTAATCAAAGCATTTAATATTTTATGGCTTTTAGTGTTTGACACGTGTGTATTTTTTGTAAGTTTAGTAATAGTCCTGTGTTTTCAGAACATTTGGGTGGTATAGGCATATTTTGGTTTGTATATTACAAGGGAAACATTTAGTTAAAGCAACATCTTGTCTTCTTCCGCTGGCTGGACATGCCAGTTCTTTGAATGTCTCAGAGCTTTGAAGGAGTGGGGTATTTTTGTGCATTTCATGTAAAATTTTTGCGTCTTTCTCCTCTACTTCACTGGAGGGAAAACGGGCATTGCTTTTTGGGAAGGGATGAGAGGAGAGAAAAAGAAATAGATTTTTTCATAGATACTGTTATTGAGGTATGTTTATTAAAAAAAACCCACAAATTATTTCTGTTTAACTCTTTTTATTATTTTAACAAGTAATATTAATATAAATTATTAAAGAAATTCTCATGTTTCTTCCAGTGTCATACTTCCCCTGCCAGACAATGTGAAAGAATATTTGCTGGATGATGGAACGCTTGTGGTTTCTGGAAGGTAAAGAGTGTTTTCCTCCCTCCCTCTAAGTATTAATGCAGTTTTATGTTCACAGTTCTATTTTGTATACACATATTATATTTTACATAATGAGTTTTTAAAATTTGACCAGTCTGGCTGTAGTAAACCTCACGCTATATGAACATGTGAATGGGCTGAGTGTTGCTGTTAGTAAAAGGACTTGCTGGTGCCTGATGCAGATCCTAAAATACATGTAATACTTTTCATTCTAAACCAAGTGGAGACAGTTCCTTCATTTTTTCTCCACCTTTCCTTGTGAAATCTACAAGTCTCTGGGGTGCACAGCCTGCTGGTTTGTGTGTGGTTGCTGTTATATGGGTAGCTCCAGCTCAGAGGCTTTCCTGTCCCATGCCATTCACTTGCCTGCTGCCTTATCCAGGGGTGAAGTGACACTACCTGAGTTTAATTCTCAATAAGATACTGTATATGTAAAATCCTAGTAAAGACTGAGTTTGACTTATCATTTGCATACATATAATCCATGCGTATGATAAGGGTGAATGTCCTGTATGTATACCTATGCCAAGATTTTGGATATGGGTAGCTCCAGCTCAGAGGCTTTCCTGTCCCATGCCATTCACTTGCCTGCTGCCTTATCCAGGGGTGAAGTGACACTACCTGAGTTTAATTCTCAATAAGATACTGTATATGTAAAATCCTAGTAAAGACTGGAAGGTAAAGAGTGTTTTCCTCCCTCCCTCTAAGTATTAATGCAGTTTTATGTTCACAGTTCTATTTTGTATACACATATTATATTTTACATAATGAGTTTTTAAAATTTGACCAGTCTGGCTGTAGTAAACCTCACGCTATATGAACATGTGAATGGGCTGAGTGTTGCTGTTAGTAAAAGGACTTGCTGGTGCCTGATGCAGATCCTAAAATACATGTAATACTTTTCATTCTAAACCAAGTGGAGACAGTTCCTTCATTTTTTCTCCACCTTTCCTTGTGAAATCTACAAGTCTCTGGGGTGCACAGCCTGCTGGTTTGTGTGTGGTTGCTGTTATATGGGTAGCTCCAGCTCAGAGGCTTTCCTGTCCCATGCCATTCACTTGTCTGCTGCCTTATCCAGGGGTGAAGTCATACTACCTGAGTTTAATTCTCAATAACATAAGCTATATGTAAAATCCTAGTAATGATTGAGTTTGACTTATCATTTGCATACATATAATCCATGCGTATGATAAGGGTGAATGTCCTGTATGTATACCTATGCCAAGATTTTGGATGGAGAAGAATGAGGTGAATAGATAGGAAAAACAGTCTTTATTCTTTGCTTTCTGCTTAGAATCTCATTGTATGGCTTCCTTATAAATGATAGATTATTGCATGCATACGTCTTGTTAATGATCAGAAATCAGTCCACACTCCATCATTTCCTAACCAGTAGTTTGCATCTCACAGAGCAACCAATTATGCTGTGAGAGTAAGGGAGTTATGTCTAAATTCTGAGGAATAAATTTATATAAAATTGAAGCTGTTTCTACACCTTATGAAGACGAAAGGTCTTTTTAAATTTAATTTTTTTTTTTAAATTAAAGATATATAGAAAATTGGAATTGTTTTTTAAACCATTTTGGATAAGAGACAATATTCTCACCTGCTCCTGCAGAATTGTGCAACGTATTTTAGCAGCAGCCACTTGTTTTTTAATAAGCTTTCAGAAAAGCTGAAACTGAGGGTTTGATGTTACAGCTGTGTCATACAAACAATTTCTGCTGTTTTCAATGGAGTAGTGGACAGCTGTATAATTGACTTTAATTATATTTTTTTTAAGATGTTTTCAATTTAAAATTCCTTTTAGAAACCAATTTTTCTCTGAGTTGAACTTTATTAGCTAGAAGTGAATGTGATCTTGTAGTCAAGGCCAAGATTGCTTTTAATCTGCAGTCAGATATCTGACCTCTAGATCTCAAAAACTGAGTTGGTATTTTAATCCCTATGGAAGTGCATTAAGGAGCTGCAGAGACTTGGCTTGTTAAGCGTTGATTTTTGTCAGGGTTGCACATTTGAACTTACCCTGTTTGCAATGCTGACTTGTTGTGAATAATAATCTTTTCCAAGAGTTTGGTCTTCTCCTTTCAGATCTTCACACTTAGTTATATTGGCTAAAGAACTTGAAAAACGACCTAAAATTTCAAGGCAATATTTGCAGTCAAGTGCTTTCTCCCAGATATGTTAGTGTCACAACAGCGGATTTCATACGTGCAGAAAAAGAAACTTTTCAGGAAGAAGATAATGACTATGTATTCATAATAAGTAGGATCTTCTTTTCTGTGTGTGGACATTTTCTTTTCGGAACCAGAAATTCACAGGTCAATGTCTGAAACCCACAATTTACAAATTTTTACTTGGAAAAGGAGTATGGAGGTAGAGCACAATTTAAATGGAACTTTTTTCTTTTTTTTAAAGTTTGTTTAATTTGTGCTTCTGTCAGAGCACAGTAAAGTTGGAAAATAATAATTAATGGGGTGCTGAAAAGCTTCAGTCATGGCATTTTCAGAACAGAAAGTGATCTGCTAATTTGAAAGCAGCAAAGTGTTTTGGGAAGGGCCCAAGTCTAATGTCAGGGGATTCAGCCTTCAGTTTTCTATGCTGGCTCACTGATTTTTCTCTGCCAGGGTTTTTGAGTCTTAATCCCCTTACGAAACTGACAGCTGGTAGATGCTGTGGAAATGTAATGTACATGGTCAAGTAAAACTCCAGTGTTTAATTTTTTTTCATGCTAATTTTTTGTTTTAGAGATGATCCACCGAGTCACGCTCAGGAGAGGAGCGACGATGCAGAGGAAATACAGGTCAGTTTACGATGCGACTTAATGCCAAGTATCTTGAGAACAATATGAACATGTAACCTTTTCTGCATAATTTATAGGTGAGGAGAGTAGTTCACAAAAACAATAATCTCTGGTAGTTGCCTTGAAAAACTTAAAAACTTTATTTATACTGTGACATTAGGGAAGGTTTAAAGTGTTTCTATGTTCTTTCACAGAAGAATTTTTTTACTGTTATTTCTTGGTAATTGCATTTGTAATAATGAGTAGGGAATGTTGAAGGATGTTGCAATTGAACTTAATGCTGTTTCATGCCCTGAAAAATTAGAAGCCAGAGTATATTTGGAGGAGTTATTTCAAGAAACAATGAACTTTTCTGAGGCCATAATAGCTCAGAAGAGTATTCTAGAAGAAAAAGGCTGGAAAATGTAAGCACGAGGTGTCAGGGGGTAGAAAAAGGTGAAAAAGAAATAAAAGTGAAACTAATGGATCATGGGTGTAAGGATGAAAACTCTGGAGCTGGAGACAAGCTTTAGACAGGGAAGACTGAGTTCTGAAATGTCCAAGTTTGTGATATAAATCACAATTAAAATATTGTCTTTTATCCGTACTTGAGAATGGTACTTCTGATGAATATATAGTATTTTTCCTGTCTTAATCCAATTATTAAGGTTGTAAATTATGGTGATGTCATGCTACAGGAGCTCCAGGGCAATCATTTAATCAACATGTTGTAGGAAGGCATATTAATTCTGATGTTTTCATAAATTATAAAGGATGTCTCAGGAAACCAGTAACCTTTGATTTGTTCTTATTTTTAACAGTGGTCGGATGATGAGAACACTACAACACTTAAGGTAAAAGCCTAACGTGGGTTTGTCAGCAGTATCCTTTCCACAACCTTGTGATGTTGCCAGTTAGAGATATTTGTCGCTGTGTTTAACGTTTTTCAGACCATTCTGGAGGGATGGCAGTACACTTGTCTGTAACTTTAAAAAACTCTTGCTGGCTTTATTTTATTTAACTAAGAAGAAAATACTTTTCTTTATCCGCAACAATCACACACGTGTCAGACTATAGGAAGTGAACTGAAGTATGGCTCTAAATATAGCTGTCTTTCATTTTCACCACTCTGAATATCCCAATTACTTAATCAGACTGGATGCAGAAGAAGCGAAGCCCCTGCAGCTCAATTTTCACAGCTCTTCTCTTACACCTATGACATTATTTCCTCCAAAGTACATACTTTATTAGCTAGAAGTGAATGTGATCTTGTAGTCAAGGCCAAGATTGCTTTTAATCTGCAGTCAGATATCTGACCTCTAGATCTCAAAAACTGAGTTGGTATTTTAATCCCTATGGAAGTGCATTAAGGAGCTGCAGAGACTTGGCTTGTTAAGCGTTGATTTTTGTCAGGGTTGCACATTTGAACTTACCCTGTTTGCAATGCTGACTTGTTGTGAATAATAATCTTTTCCAAGAGTTTGGTCTTCTCCTTTCAGATCTTCACACTTAGTTATATTGGCTAAAGAACTTGAAAAACGACCTAAAATTTCAAGGCAATATTTGCAGTCAAGTGCTTTCTCCCAGATATGTTAGTGTCACAACAGCGGATTTCATACGTGCAGAAAAAGAAACTTTTCAGGAAGAAGATAATGACTATGTATTCATAATAAGTAGGATCTTCTTTTCTGTGTGTGGACATTTTCTTTTCGGAACCAGAAATTCACAGGTCAATGTCTGAAACCCACAATTTACAAATTTTTACTTGGAAAAGGAGTATGGAGGTAGAGCACAATTTAAATGGAACTTTTTTCTTTTTTTTAAAGTTTGTTTAATTTGTGCTTCTGTCAGAGCACAGTAAAGTTGGAAAATAATAATTAATGGGGTGCTGAAAAGCTTCAGTCATGGCATTTTCAGAACAGAAAGTGATCTGCTAATTTGAAAGCAGCAAAGTGTTTTGGGAAGGGCCCAAGTCTAATGTCAGGGGATTCAGCCTTCAGTTTTCTATGCTGGCTCACTGATTTTTCTCTGCCAGGGTTTTTGAGTCTTAATCCCCTTACGAAACTGACAGCTGGTAGATGCTGTGGAAATGTAATGTACATGGTCAAGTAAAACTCCAGTGTTTAATTTTTTTTCATGCTAATTTTTTGTTTTAGAGATGATCCACCGAGTCACGCTCAGGAGAGGAGCGACGATGCAGAGGAAATACAGGTCAGTTTACGATGCGACTTAATGCCAAGTATCTTGAGAACAATATGAACATGTAACCTTTTCTGCATAATTTATAGGTGAGGAGAGTAGTTCACAAAAACAATAATCTCTGGTAGTTGCCTTGAAAAACTTAAAAACTTTATTTATACTGTGACATTAGGGAAGGTTTAAAGTGTTTCTATGTTCTTTCACAGAAGAATTTTTTTACTGTTATTTCTTGGTAATTGCATTTGTAATAATGAGTAGGGAATGTTGAAGGATGTTGCAATTGAACTTAATGCTGTTTCATGCCCTGAAAAATTAGAAGCCAGAGTATATTTGGAGGAGTTATTTCAAGAAACAATGAACTTTTCTGAGGCCATAATAGCTCAGAAGAGTATTCTAGAAGAAAAAGGCTGGAAAATGTAAGCACGAGGTGTCAGGGGGTAGAAAAAGGTGAAAAAGAAATAAAAGTGAAACTAATGGATCATGGGTGTAAGGATGAAAACTCTGGAGCTGGAGACAAGCTTTAGACAGGGAAGACTGAGTTCTGAAATGTCCAAGTTTGTGATATAAATCACAATTAAAATATTGTCTTTTATCCGTACTTGAGAATGGTACTTCTGATGAATATATAGTATTTTTCCTGTCTTAATCCAATTATTAAGGTTGTAAATTATGGTGATGTCATGCTACAGGAGCTCCAGGGCAATCATTTAATCAACATGTTGTAGGAAGGCATATTAATTCTGATGTTTTCATAAATTATAAAGGATGTCTCAGGAAACCAGTAACCTTTGATTTGTTCTTATTTTTAACAGTGGTCGGATGATGAGAACACTACAACACTTAAGGTAAAAGCCTAACGTGGGTTTGTCAGCAGTATCCTTTCCACAACCTTGTGATGTTGCCAGTTAGAGATATTTGTCGCTGTGTTTAACGTTTTTCAGACCATTCTGGAGGGATGGCAGTACACTTGTCTGTAACTTTAAAAAACTCTTGCTGGCTTTATTTTATTTAACTAAGAAGAAAATACTTTTCTTTATCCGCAACAATCACACACGTGTCAGACTATAGGAAGTGAACTGAAGTATGGCTCTAAATATAGCTGTCTTTCATTTTCACCACTCTGAATATCCCAATTACTTAATCAGACTGGATGCAGAAGAAGCGAAGCCCCTGCAGCTCAATTTTCACAGCTCTTCTCTTACACCTATGACATTATTTCCTCCAAAGTACATTTCTTCCCTCTTTTTTTTTTTTTCCCCCCCTTCTCCTGTCTTTATGCTGCCCTTTCAACGTGCCTTGCTTAGAATCAGGATCATGATGGATACAAACCAGGCTCCCATCATCTTTTTTACATCTTTTTGGAAACTTGCTGTTGCTCTATCATTGTCAGAGTTAATATACTCACTTCACTTGTCTGCTGTTGATACTGTTCCTTCAGTCCTGTTGGCTCCCGAATGTTCAACATCGTGTTGTATCGCTCATGTTGGAATAGGTGCTCACAGCCCTGCTTTGAGTTGTGCATGTGCCAGCATGGAATTTATAGCCTACATTTAAAAACTAATACATGCCAAATCTGTGCACATCAATAGTTTCAGTTCAGATATCTCAGCTTTGATAAAGTAGATGCATTAGATTGTAAATTATACGGAACAAGGATTTTAGTATGTATCTTACCTTCTGTGAAGCTCGTGTTAATGTTGCTATAATATCAGACTTTTGGATCGGGTTTCATTATAATGTACAACACGGTAAGGAAATACATAGTCAAGAGGTCTGATGCCCATCAGAAGGGTATAGGGCGAGTGATTTCCATTTAGCTGGGGAAGTATTGTGTACTGTGTATGGATGGCAGCTTTACAGCTCTTTACTGTCTCATAAATTTGGTAGAGGATTACTCTGAAGACTCCATCCATGGCAAATCTGCTTTCTTTACCTGAAACTAAGGACTACTTTGAGGCCAGTGAGTGAATGGAAATAATCTTCTGTGCTTTTAAGTGTTGCCTGTTAACACTTTGACAGTGATGAGGAGAGTGAAGGAACAGCCTGCGTAGAACGCAGAAGGGTGGAGAGCTTCATTTGGAGTTGCCACAAGAGATGAGAATGGATAAGTAGCGATGTGGAAATTGAACAGGGAGAGACACGAGGGAACATAATGTGTATAGAATAGTGGGACAGGCTGGAAACGTGGTTCTGCACTCGCTGTCAGCCTAGGGCATTTGTATCTTGCTAATGATAAATCCCAGGTTAATTCTCTATTGGTTTCTTAGCTCAAGGAGCAGTAAGGTGGGCTGTGATTGTGATTATTCTGAGTTGATGACCCACCTGAGTTACCTTGTCCCTTCTTTATTCTGAAGAAGAATTATACATTATAGAAAATTCTGTGTTTAAAAAAACATGCATTAATATCGATGGTTGCAAAACCAGGCATTCAGAACTTAGGAAATGTTAGAATCTAGCTTGGTTTTGCAGCCTTAAAACCTCTTGTGTATATTTCTTCTCTAGTATTAAGCAAATGACATGATGGTAACATTTCCCCGGGGGGGCTTAGCATGTGGTGGTATTACATACATAGTATTACTCCTGACTTCTGTCAAAACAAGAGGAGATTGGATCAGAATGCAGTGGATGAAGAGTTTTATTTCTTGCAGGAACAATTTCTAGAATTGACTGAAGCTCTAAAAATAAAGTAAAACAAGATAAGTGCTTTTCCAGTTTTTCAAGTGTAGTTTCCCATGAAGACTAGGAAACCTACTAAGGAAAGATTCGGAATGTTTGAACTGCAGCCTAAGCCACTGCGCTAAAATGTGAGAGGGTTTTTCAAAGTGTCTGCATTTGGAGGGGCTGCAGAAGGAGGATGGCAAAATGGATGAACTTTTTGTCATCATTTGTGTGGTTTTGAGGGCTTTGTTTTAGAGACATCGACTATCTTTACCCAACAACTTATCTTTAAGTCTTTGAATTGAGTTTAAAAATTCTCAGGCAGAAATAGTATTCTTATATCCTTTTTGCGATAAATCCTATTATATGAAGGTGTTGTTTTAGAGACATCGACTATCTTTACCCAACAACTTATCTTTAAGTCTTTGAATTGAGTTTAAAAATTCTCAGGCAGAAATAGTGTTCTTATATCCTTTTTGCGATAAATCCTATTATATGATCCTAAAGATATGATATATATCTTTGATATAGCCCTGAAAGCCTTTCATATTATTTTAAAGGTCCGCAATCTGGTTTGTTTTTTTTCTGTTGCACCACATTCAGAGTGGAGTTTACAGCATCCTGAGAAGGTGTTTTCCCCCTATCTTTTGTTTACATATTGACAAGTTTTTCTAGTTCAACCCATTCCTTTGCAGTGTATCTTCTATTTGATTAAATATATTATTAAGGAGCTACTTCAAGAGCTGATTAGTTAAAGTATTACTAACAACATTTCATAAAACTAAGGCTTAAGTGAGGAGCTGTCACTCAAATTGCCTGTTTTATTTATTTACTTTTGCTCTTTTACTGTACTCCTAAATGCAACTAAGCAGTTATTACAAAACAGAACTGGTCTCTTGCTACCTTTTAATACTTTGACAGAATGCTACAATATTTGTATTTTAGGTTTTTTAAAGAGGTGCTTAATTCTAAACAAACTGGTTTTGAAAGTTTATTTTTAAATCCGCTTGGATCTTATTTGTATACAATAATCTACCATCAGGTATAAAACAACAGGTCTGTGTTTAAGGTCTGTTTATTTGACTTGCACGTTTGCTAGCTGTTGCAGCTTTCATGATGAACGTTATGAAGTTTTGTTTTCCCTTAAAGTTTGTGAAATCTTGCTAGTAATGAGAGCGAGCACTGGAAATGTATTTTCAATTTTCTCTGATTGAAAGAATGTCAGAGTTGATTCTTTAGTTATTTCTAAAAATACATTATTTTTGTGGGGTTCCACTGGAAATGTATTTTCAATTTTCTCTGATTAAAAGAATGTCAGAGTTGATTCTTAACTTATTTATTTCTACAAATACGTTATTTTTGTGGGGTTCTTGGTTCCTGATTTTGGACACGTTTATTCTTTCTACAATATGTATTTCTAATGGTATTTAGAAAATGGCTACACTTCACTATTAAATGTATTGAAATGGGGTTATTTTTGTTTTTTGTTCAGGCACCAGAATTTCCTGAGTTCACAGCTAAAGTGCAAGAAGCAATAAGTTCCTTGGGTGGTAGTGTTTTTCCTAAACTTAACTGGAGTGCTCCGAGGGTAAGAATGCTGACTCCCAAAACTTGTAACTGATGTTATCACAAGGATTTTTTTAGTTAGTTTTATCTTAATGCGTTGGGAAGTAGAAGATGCTAGTGGTTCTGATGAAAGAAGAGGTGATGGATATCAGTGAAGGGTTTTATCTTAATGCGTTGGGAAGTAGAAGACACTAGTGGTTCTGATGAAAGAAGAGGTGATAAATGAGATATCAGTGAAGTATGATACAGCAAATTGTTCTGGTGGATTAGAGCTGGCTGGTGGGCTGTTTGATGGGGCTGATGCAAGACAGCACTGTTTTTCTTACATAAAACCCTGTATTCTTGTCACAGATAACAGTATGATGATCAGACTCTTCTCATTTAGGATACTAGTTGAAAATGTTGCCTGGGATAAAGATTAAAATCCCCACATTTAAAAAAAAAAATAAAATCCAAAACCAAGTAAACTTCCCTCCAGTATGATGATCAGACTCTTCTCATTTAGGATACTAGTTGAAAATGTTGCCTGGGATAAAGATTGAAATCCCCACACTTAAAAAAAAAATAAATCCAAAACCGAATAAACTTCCCTCTGGTTATTTTTTAGGTACTTTATCTATGCCTTAAGGATGAATGCACCCAAATGTTTTATGTTGTATTCTCAAGGGAAGCTTGTGTTCAATCAAGCGTTCCAAGAAAGTGCCTGGAAGCAGTAAAGCAAAACCTTTGTCTTTTAAATGGATTTGCTCTGCTTTTCACAGAGTATTTATAAGAAAAGCAGTAACTGTTGTGTCTCTTGTTACAGCTAATGAAGTTTTCCTCAAAATAAAAAAAAAAATTTCTGCATGTATTTCAAATGTTGCATAATATTTAGATTGATCTGCAGCTTGCATTCCCTCCTGCTGATAAAGGTGCATTTTTGGATAATCTTTTTTTTTGTTTGTTTGTTTAGGATGCCTACTGGATAGCAATGAACAGCTCTCTGAAATGCAAAGCTCTCAGTGACATCTTCCTCCTCTTCAAGAGTTCAGACTTCATTACGCGTGACCTCACTCAGCCGTAAGTAGATTTCTAGCAGACAATCTTATTTATACCCAGTCAAAAAAAAAAAACCCTACCCCTCAGAGGGTAACTCTTCAGTTCTTTTGAAAAATCTTACTTTTTACTGTACAGTAACAACAATCTTATTTATACCCAGTCAAAAAAAAACCCCACCCCTTGGAGGGTAACTTTCCAGTTCTTTTGAAAGATCTTACTTTTTACTGTACAGTAATGAAAAAAAAAAAACCCTACCCCTCAGAGGGTAACTCTTCAGTTCTTTTGAAAAATCTTACTTTTTACTGTACAGTAACAATAAATACCTGATACAAAAATGCATATTCATGTTTGAAAGTTGTTCAGGTGCAGTTATCAGTTGTTCTTTGAAGCTCCCCTTACCCCTTCCCTCCTCCTTTGTCTCCCTCCACCGTGCAAAAATAAATGCCAGATCCAATTTAGCACAGAGAATCGCGAGGCAATTTATCTTCACTGTTACTTACTGTGAGAGTCTTTCCCAGTAAACCAGAATTGTTTACCTTCCTTCAGTCAAAAAACAGAGGAGCAGCCTCCATTTAATTCTTATATTAATTCACTTGATTTTAATATGCAAACGAGTAAAAAGCAAAACAGGAAGATATTATATTAAGGTAGTACATATAAAATTCCACTGTGACTAAGACCGTTTTTATCGAGTTGCTTTTTGGAGGAAGTGATGTTTTAATCTTGGGGGTTTTTTGCCTTCCCACCCCTCTTGGCATTTACTTGTTGTTACCCACTGTATTGTTGCCACTTCTCATGGTAACAGCATGACATTACCGTGTCCCTTTCAAATTTTCAAGCTGTTGAAGTTTGCGTGGTTGCCTGGAAAATGCCTGAGACTACTACTAACATATTCCTAAAGCTCCTTCTGAACCTAGTTCTTGTAGCACTTGAACAAATGCACTCCAGGAACTGTGACTAGGGATAATAGTTGTGGATAAAGCTACAAAAACAAGGTGCTTGAGGTTTATTTTATCTGCTCACATGAAGAGAGTACTTAATTGTATGCGAACAACTTTCTCCTGTAGCACCTGCATCTAAGTCTTGTTACTCATTTCTGAAATACAGCCTCTTTCTGAAAGAAAATAAAATTATTGGAATTTAATGTTCTTGTTACTGTTATTGCTAGCTTTTTTTTCAGAAAAGAGGAATGTCAAAGCAAAAGGGCAATGCATGGCTTGGTACCCAAGAGATTATTTTCCAGTAATTATTCAATGCTTATTTATATTACTGCAGTATTTAGGAGACTCAAATCATATGCAGGGCACTTGTGCTACGTGCTTTGTAGAAGATTACAAAGCATAATAGTCCTGTGTTAAGTAGCTTATGACCCCATAAGAATTGTCTTGTCTAAAATTGCATTAATGCTGTGTAACTGCTGCCTCTTTTTTTTTAATTTTTTTTTTTTTAATTCCTGCAACTTTAATAACACTCTTTACCCCCAGTTTGTTGGTACATTAAAAAATGACAGGTAGCAACATCCTCATCCTTATCTCTGCATTTATGGAGTGCTACCAATGCTGTCAGTCCAATTTTGGTGGTAGGGTTTACATTGTGTCTAACCTACAGTGTTATGAGGTGCAAGGGAAGAGACTGAGAAGGAGGGGAGATGATGTTGGAGTCAGAAGACTGTTTGAAAAATGTGTTGGACTATAGGGAAATAATTGTAAGCATTGAGAAATCATGATTCTGGAATCATAGAGAATGAAAGGGATGGAGGAGATGAAAAACCTATAGTTTACATTTCAGAGATGAGTAAATAGTGATTCTCAGAAGAATTTGGTGCCTTAATCAAGAAGTTTTTCTTCTCCTGGTTTCCCCTGATGGGAGGCTGGGTGACTTGCCCAGGTGTCTTGAGGATGGCTTGCTCAGAGCGTTGAGCGCTGAAATTTAATGTATCCTTTGTTGGAACTGCTTTCAGGGTTGAGTCTTGTGGGTCTGAAAAGAACTGTACACTTTGTATCATCCCTCTGTGAATATTAAATAATATTGTTCTTGTATTGTAAAAAGAGGTTATAAAGAGGTTCAGCAAAAGGTACCCTGAGCTCCTTGGAGAATTCCTATTTGGTTTACCACTTTTTAATGAGTTTGGGACACAGTCAATCAGTGCATTTTCTGTCAGGTTTTATCTTGTATCAGGTAAAGGTAGTGTCTTAGCTCTTCACCTTGCCCTCTGCAGACAGCGCTGACTTCGAGGTAGAGGCAAGGAATGCCTTGTAGCTCCTACGTTGTGAGATTTCACAGCATGGGTGTTAACTTGAACCATCAGTAATTTCACCTTAAGTTCACACCAGACTAAGGACAGTGGTGGCTGGGCAACCTGTAGCAGCCACACTCTCATCTGCTGACCCTGCTGGGGGAGAATAGCCTCTAGCAGAAAGGCAACACCTCAAATCACAGTAGTCCAGTCCATTTAGACTCCTTTTCCAGTGCAATAAGAACATGCGCACCGCCAGATCACACAGCTCAGCTAGTGAGTGGTAAATAAGCAAACCTTGTGACATGATGGTGGGATCATCACCTAATCAAAAGTTAAGTTTTATTCAAGAAGTGTTGTGTTTATTTCCCTTCCTATAAAATCTAATCTAATATTGGTATAAACTTGGGTTATGGGCTTTGTTGTTTTGATAAGGCAAAGTTAATATGGGCAGTGGAACCTCGTGGTTTCCATGACTTTGGATGGAAGTTGTACTTAAGACTAGGGGAATATGTGTAATGTGTAAAATCACTCTGGTCTCTATATATCTTATATTTTGTGAATATGTTGATATTGATTGAATACTTGATTAAAGCATGTATTATTTTCTGGTCTGTGCATGGTATTTCTAAATTACTAAGTTATTTGTACGAAATGGCCCCACTCAAACAGTGAAACGATTATTGCTGAATCAGAACAGTAGTCTTCCTTAATTATACGATTGATTAGCTGCCAGTACCCTAGTCCTTAGCAAGCAGAAATCAAAAATGTAGCAGGCATAAGAACCAGAAGTGCTGAACAAATGAAAATTGGATACGTAATACATCCAGATCCCTCAGAAGGGCTACTCAGAGGGAGGATAAGTGCACTATATTTCTACTTCTTTCATTAATACTCAATATGGTGTAAAAGTTACTTGCCCTGTGTAAGTAACAGCTAAAATGTAATATACTTTTTTGTGTGTGTGTTTTGTTTTCTGCTCAGTTGTTTTAACTGGGTCATAATATGGAAGAGACTTTCCAATGGCAATGTGAAGATCTGTTTCTTAATCCATTTTTGCCAGTGGTGTGGGACTTAAGGCAAATCACTTTCTTTGCCTCTTCCTTCCTCTCCCATTTCCTATCTGCTTATCTGGTATCAATCTATATATTGTTCACGTTGGGGAACTGCCCTTGCTGTAATTCTGAACTGTCTCAAGTTCTGAGAGAACTTCAGGTGTGTAATACTTCAATACAAACCATTGAAATATATGGCCTTACTGCAAGTATGCTGAGCATAGAATCATAGAATGGGTAGAGTTGGAAGGGACCTTAAAGATCATCAAGTTCCAACCCCCCTGCAACGGGCAGAGACACCTGACTAGATAAGCATGGCTAGATAAGCTTTGACTATTTTAAATATTTGCATTCTTTCATGATGTTGACATTTTGTTTGGCTGGAAAGTTCAGAATGAGTTAACGTTCCTCCTTGTTAATTTTGTATAAATTAACAAAGACTTCAGAGCAACGCACTTGTTAATGCAGTCAATGTTGTTTCTGCTTCAAAGCATTGCATTTTACTTAGCTGAGTTCACAAAAAAACTCGTGGGCGGTGTGATCTTCAACTTTTCAGGTTTTAATGTAGGCTTTCAGAAACCTAGTGTTGTGGCTGTGATAAATATCCCTTTCTAATTGGGATTTCTGCTAAGTGATTAAAACTCCTCTTTTGAACAAAAATCCTTTTAAAGCCCTGTTGAGTGTATTAGTTCAGAACAGTTTTCTTCCTTATTGTTAGAATGTGTGGACTGTGTTTTGTTAAGACCTGATTTCCACCGTGAGACTGGTATAACTATTAGCAACAGTTCTAATGATATGATAAGGCACTTTCAATTATAAGATAAGCTTGTTCTATCATGCTAGTTAATGAATCATGGAAATTTTGTCAAACTTTGGAGATTGTTCTTCTTCTACAGGGCAATACTGGATATTTTAAATCTGCAGATGCTACTGTTGGGATTTTGAACGCTGAAGTGTTCTTAGTTTTCCAGTTGTTTAATAACCCTAGCGATGAAATAAGAAGTCAACGTGTTGAAAAGCAACCAAACACAGAGAACAGCTTTTGCAGGGATTGCCCTTCGAGTTATAATAAGGGGACAGTAAGAGTCATTTGCAAGAATAGCTGTTTTCTGATGGGCACTTAAGTGTTGTAAACTGGTTTTCAGTATTTTATTGGACCAGGTGGTGCTATAGTCCTGTTCATTCCTGAAAACTTTGAGAAAGGAAAAGTCTCATGATGTATTAATGTGCAAAACACAAAGGAACATGAGGGGAGATGCAATTTTTTTTATTTAGGTTTTTATAAGAGGGTTTGATTAAAATAGAAGTGCCTGTTTCCAAGAACAATTGAGAAAATCTGCTCTTGAATGAGGTTTAGCCCATCAGGCTCATGAGCACATTGTGGACTTTAAAACCTAGCTGATGTTTCAGTCCTTTTTGGTTTTTTAAATAGCATTCTGACTACATTTTTGATACCAGACTTAATAGTTCAAAATATTGAATTACAAATTATAAAGAAATTATAAAGTTTTTCTGTTATGTGGAGGAGTAGCAGCCTGTGTTCTCCTGACAGAATGTAGGAGGCAGTGTTGGCTCATAAAGATGTGACTGCACTCAGGATACCTTTTGCAAGACCAGTAGCTGTTGGTTTAGGCTTTAGAATAACCTATTTCAAGGTAGACAGTTCCACATGAGACTATGTGGAAAATGAGGCCTTTGATATTTTTTCTTTTTTTTTTTTTTTGGTTTTACTCACATCCCATTTTTGCTAGCAATTTACAGTGTAGTACAAGATCCTCTTTTGAATGGTGCATGAATTTCCTATTTCTATAGTCCTTAATGTTCCAGCAAGGTGCAGCATTCAAGAAATAAAGTTGCAGTTCAAAGGCTGTTAGAAGTTTTACCTTTTTTTTTTTTTTTTTTTTTTTTTTAATTAAGGTTTAAAAATAAACTTTTTTTTTTTTTTTTTTTTTAATTTTATTAAGGTTTAAAAATAAACTATGAGATGGTAGCAAGTGTACCTGTCGTGTCAGGTACAGAATAACTTTTACAATTCTTATTATGTCCACAATATTTTATTATCCACAGAATAATCTCAGTGATTTGCAAATGGGTTCATCGCTCTCTTGGCAGGATAAGTACTGGAGGTCTTACAAACCTTCGTAAATTGCTTTTTTCAGTGTTGAAAACTGAACTGCATAATGGCTTTAGGTGGTGTGTCCTGTTGTCAGGTGTATGCATTCAGAGATTAACATACAGCTGCTACACAGAAAGAGACCTTGATCCTTCTGTTCTTGACATCCAAGTATAAATCTGTAAAGAAGCTGACCCCTGCACAAGGACTATTAGCACTAGAATTTAATTCCTTCACCCTTAGAAGTATTCAAAATGACAGTTTTCAAAGGCTTCATAAAAGAGAGCCCAGATATCTCACAATTTTGGGGTCCTGAAGTCTTTCTGATTGTTCTTTCAGGTACCTCCAAACCTGAATTGGATGCATGTTAAAGAAATCCTGTGTAGCCTTCTGCCTCTGATTGTAATAGGCTAATTCAGCTGGGTCTGAAAAATGAATGCTACAATCAATTGGGAAAAAATAGAATATTGCAACTACCTCAAGTTGCCTAAAATTTACCCCCCAAAAAAGGGGTGATAGTAATGTCCCATTGTTGACAAAACCTTACGATACTGTTTAGAAGGAAAATGAGACTACAAAAACCTGAGTTTATTTTGTCTTTTGCTGTGTTCTCCCATTTTTTCCTCATTTGTACTCAGTTCTGTGTCATTAAGGTCAAGCAAAAACCAGTGTTACTGCGTCTTGCAGTGTTTTTGTCTGTACTCATCATTTTACCTCTTTGCTTGATCTGGCAGCAATACCTGAGCGGTCCGTGTGGCTTGGGGTGGCACCCAAGGATTTAGTTTTCTGACTTGCAAGGAAATTTATCTTTCCCTACCATAACTCTCACCCAAAAGGGGTGAGGGTTGAGCGAGGAACAGTTTTGATTGTTCATAAGGGTGTTTTTTTTGACTGCTGGAAAAGACCACATGTTATTGGAATGAAGCAGATTGCAGGTACCCCCGTGTCAGGTATGAAGTCTGTGAGAGGTAATACAGGTCCCAGTGTGCAGAGACTATAAACTCCATGTGCTGGACCTCAGCTGCCTTTTTATAGATAGTTTATGATTGGTTTGGTGTGGGATATTTTCTTGAGCATGGTAGGCATATATGCTAGCAAGGGAGGAATTTTGAGACTAGCAAAACTGCAAGCCCTCATTGAGTTTGTTTCTATTGCTTTGACAGATCTTAAATTGTGGGGAATATAAACTGTAGTTGATGGATGTTATCTGTTTACATAGGCTTACAGATATATACGATCTGTTTGATTACAGTGCTTTTGGGAAGCGTGCCTGCTATCGCCCTTCTCTTCTGCGTGTAGTGGATATTCAAGTCTAAACTAAACCGTGTGGAATTTATTTCTGCTGGCTGCATGCTGAATGAACTCTTACAATAGCTCTTCGCTTCAAACCGAAGGCCGGGCAGCCCCGTCTTACAAACGCAATGCTTATATTAGAGATGTTAAACTTTTGGATTGCTTAACTAAGTTCAGTGCCAAAGGGAGATAGTATAAATGTTGCCATTTAAGACTATTGCTCAGCAGTGACCCTTTACACAGTTCTGTGCATCCCAGTAGTTTGTTGCCAATAAGGTCAGGGAGTAGACTTGGAAAGAAAATGCGTGTTCTTTTGCTAATTCCCTTTTGAAAGTGACAGGATTTACTGCAAGGTTTGCTGTAAAACAACAAAAAGATACATAGAAGTTGTTTTGGGTGTAGCTGCCTCCATTCTTTCTAGCTCCTGAGAGGTGGCACGCAGTCAGCTACCCACAAGGGGCACAACCTTGACATCTGCTTGCAGTTATGGAAATAGTTTTGTTTATTCCCACTCTCAAGAGATTTTTAAGAGTATTTCTTAAGGCTCTTAATTTAGAAAGATACCGTGCTGTGGAATCGGAAGTGCTGAGTGGCGCTGGTTTGCATCCTTTATTCATGGAAATGAACTGCTGTAAGGCATGGTGATGTGTCTCTGTTGTGTGGTTTAGGAAGTTAAACATTAAAAGTACTAGGGAAAACATGCTGCAGTGAAACTGGATTAGATTGCTCGAGTTTATCTGGTTTTTTGAGAATCCAGTTATGCCAACATAACAATAAAGAGGAAAGGAGCAGCACTGTTGATTCAAACAAAAAAACATCAACAATGAATAAACACGTTTTAGCCATGTCACTTCAAATGGAAGTGCTTCCAAATAACACTGGACGAAAAGAGGAGAATTTTTTTTTCCTTCCTTCCTCCCCCCAAATAATTGTCAAGAGGAGGTTTGTTAATGAGGTATTGGATTGTACATCTTGGAGATAATTTAACAGTAGCTTTTGTGATTCACAGTTTAGGGTTATTTTTCTCACTATAGCTAAAATATTATATGTAAAAACAGATCTTGATGCCTGTGCCTTACTTTTCCAGATTTATTCACTGTACTGATGATTCCCCTGATCCTTCCTTGAACTATGAGGTAAGTCTCTTTGCATGAGTTCTAGGTAATTTCAATTAATAGCTCGCAGGCAGGCTGCCATTTGTGCTTGGGTGGTTGCCCATAACATTTGGTTTATTTGTTTTAATTGTGTTGCTTGGGCAGCGTGGGGAAGCCTGGTTAAGCGCTACAGGTCATAAGGAGTTCATTTAATTACACATCAGAGATGAGCTAAAGTTCAGACTTTTGGAGCTTCCTTACAGTTTCCTCTCATGTCTCTCAGGTTTTGCTGCGAGCTTCCTTACAGTTTCCTCTCATGTCTCCTCTCAGGTTTTGCCAGGAAGGACCAGTTCAGTAGCTGAAAGTCATATATTCTTGATAGTGTGGTGCTTGTGAATATCACACCTGGGGTTACTAAGAGAGAAGCTGGGGATGTCCTGAACTCAAATGGTCTATGGTGTCTCGTTTCATATGCTCGTTACCAGATTAAAATGTTAAGTTAGCAACGTAGATACTAACTGCTTTAAACTGTTCATATGATGCTATCGCTTCTAGGGTAGCATCTAGTCGTGCCTCTAATAATAATTTTTATGTAAATATAACATTTGTCATCCTCCTGCAGACTTGAAGAGCTTTAGAGAAGTGAGTGAACCCTGGTTTGTTTGGGTTTGTTTTTTTTTTTAAGCACTGCCTTAATGTACTTTAAAAATACACGACATCTGAAAGCGGAAACAAAGAGTTTCATGTTTACACTGTAGTTAGGAACGTCACCTTTGATTACTGAGGTTTTTCTGCTGTGGTTGGTAGGAGTTGGGAGTTTCCAGTACCCATGAGCAGTAATTGAGGCCCTCAAAATAATGGATCCATCCGGATACTTCAGCTTAGGAAATACAGAAACTTGAGAAAGTGCCAGAGATATGTTTTAATTACCAGGCAGCATGTCCTATTGACTATAATAGTTTGGTTACTATTTCTATCCCATGTCCTTATTTTAACTGATTTGCTCCTTCAAAGGCGTCATAGAATTCTGCTTGGGTGTATACCAGAATAGAGGTTGATTTGGTTAAATTTAATTCTGCTCATCAGCTCTTTTGACTAGAAGAGAGCAACTTTCTGCCAATTCCATGACACATTTGTTGTGTTGTACAGCAGGAGTTTTTGCTTTCCGTGCTTTATCATTAATGCAACTTTGAAGTTGTTTCCTAAATGATTTCACAGCTATAAATGCTGTACAAAGTGGAAGATCATAAGGTAATTTAAGGTGGGAAGGGGCCTGAGGAGGTCTCTAGTCCATTCCCCTGCTCAGAGCTGGGTGAGCGATGAGATCAAATCGGGTTGCTTGACATTTTATCAAATCTGGTCTGAAAACCTCAGAGGATGGAGGCTGCAAAACCTCTGTGAGGGAGCTGTTCCGATGCTTGACAGTCCTTGTGGTGAAAAAGTTTCTTCTTGCATCCAGTCTGAAGCTTTCTGCTTTAAACTAGTTTGGACTAGATGCTCCTTAAAGTTATGGCTGCAAAACCTCTGTGAGGGAGCTGTTCCAATGCTTGACAGTCCTTGTAGTGAAAAAGTTTCTTCTTACGTCCAGTCTGAAGCTTTCTGCTCTAAACTAGCTTGGACTAGATGCTCCTTAAAGTTGTCTTCCAACCAAAAGCATTCTGTGATTCTATGAAATTAATATTAAGTCTAATTGCTTTGAAGGATTTGCTAAGATGATTATGTGAACTGCAGATTAAGATCGTTTTGTTTTCTTGTATCAGGAGTAACTTCAGAGGGCATCTCATTACAGCAGAACTGTAGACCTGCAGACAAAAAGTTTCCTGTTACCTTTCTGAAACAATACTTAGTCGGTTTTTTTTCCCCCTCTGTAGCTTGTTCTTCGCAAATGGTGTGAACTAATCCCTGGTGCAGAATTCAGATGCTTTGTCAAGGAAAACAAGCTCATAGGTAAGAATTTTCTTAAAGATAAAATTATTAGGTGAAGCTCATAGGAGTTTCTCTGATTCCTTGAATCGGAGCTAAATCTGAAGACAGTTCTTTGTTATCACACTTCATTTCTGGAATTAATGGTTTCTTCTTTCTGTAATTTAAAACGTGCCATGCCACATTTCTGTTTCCACTGTATTTGAAAGCCTGACAGCTCTGCATACTCAATAATACAGTGGGAATATTCTTAATTCTAATTGCTAACTCAGAAACTTCACCCTAAGGCTGTTTTGTAGGTGACTCTCTTATATTCAGGAGCAAATGGCATCCTAGCCAGCTTGCAGAATGAATACAGAGGCAGTTGGAAATTATGCTGATAAAATGTGACCACGTGTGGATATTATATGCAGGAAGCTGGGGAGGTCAGAACGTGTCCACGGGTTTATGAGGTGTCTGAGCTCTAATTCTGTTCGGTGTAGCTGAGTCAGAAAACCTGTTGATCTGTTACTCTGGTTCAGAAAACTAAATGTAAAATATTTCAAGTGGCACTGAACAGGTAGGGTAATGACAGTGTGCAAAGAGCTGGTGGGTCCATTGGGAGACCTCTGACAGCTGGAGGACAGGCAGATTGTGCTAAAGCATGTATTTTAGGCAGCTCTAGGGTAAATTTAGCTGAATTATACTCCTATAGATATATTGACTATTCTCTGCTGATTATAACAGGAGCTTAGACATCTAGTGCATATACAGGTGTTTGAATTGAGGGGTTTATTTTCAAGCTAAATACTATTCTGGAGTTTGAATTTGGGTTTTCTGTGGTCTACTATGGAATCTTTAAAGATGAACAGGAAACGTAAATAGCACAGGATTGATGCACATTTGTCCTTAACAAGATTGAGTCATTCTGTCTAAACTCTTCCAACAAGGAAATGTTATAGCAGTGACATAGCAGAGCTCTAATCCACACTTTATAGGAAGGAAGGTAATTTTTTTCACTTGAAAATAAACTCAAGTTTGCTCCTTTTGTCTGTTTTGTACCTACATATGCACAAACACCAAGATGCATATATACAACCGGTCTGTCCAGGATTCCTTGTGATAATATGGAAGTGAAGGGATAGTAACTAGCTACTCCTGGTTGTTTCTCCTGCCTTCTCAGCATGATGACTCTGTGCTTGGTTTGGATGTGGCTTTTTGTACCTGTTTGGAGCTGTCAGCAATTTGTCCTCTCTGTTCTATCCTGGCTCTGTGAATCACTGGGAACGAACTCGCTGTTCTTGGTTTCCTGGTCTGGGTGTCCTATTGAGCTGTTCCTTCTGGTGCTTCCACACTCATCTTCTCATTCTCTCTCCGTTCATGCTGTTAGAGTTCTCTGTAGCAAAGTTTATCTTGCTAACAGCAGAGATTCTGCATTAAGCTGCTACTGTTTAATGAGTACTGACATAGCTTTTTGAAGGGGAAGGAGCTGAATCCTGCCCTGTTATGTGCTGCTGGAACACTGCAACGGCCAGAGATCTGCATCTCTGTAATAACCTCTAAAACATTTGAATATAGATGTATTACAGAATATATATAGTGATATTTACTTTCAAATACTACACAAATATAAAGTATTTGTGCACTGCCTAATTAAACACTCTCCATTCCATTACTAAGTTCTTAAACCTACTAGATCTACCAGTATGTGGAGGTTTTTTTTAGCTAACACTCCGGCTGCATTTCTGAGGATAGTTCAACATTTTTCACAATATGTTCCGTGATATTTACTTTCAAATACTACACAAATATGAAGTATTTGTGCACTGCTTAATTAAACACTCTCCGTTCCATTACTAAGTTCTTAAACCTAGTAGATCTACCAGTATGTGGAGGTTTTTTTAGCCAACACTCTGGCTGCATTTCTGAGGACAGTTCAACATTTTTCACAATATGTTCCAATGCTCTTAGAATTAATAAGCCTGTCAGTCAAGTTAAAGAGAGATATTGCACAGTGTAGTGAATGATTTTCCAGTTACGCATCTGCATCCCCTGAGATGCCACCATCTCTCAGTTTATGTTTTTATACCTGAGTTAAGCTTTGCGGTGGTATTAATAATTCAAACTTCCACTGACATCATAAACTTTATATAAACTTTTTTAAAAAGCACATGTTTGGAGGTAGTCAGCATTGTCTAATAGTAAAACTTAATTTCTCTGTTTTATACGTGGTTAAAACAGCAAACTGCCATTATTGGTGCATCTTTCATGGAGGATTCTGGCTTTTTCTTCCCCAAAATATCATGATTTACTCCTTCTGCTTTGAAGGGGCAGGTCTTGATTTGATGTTGTCCAGCAGGGTGTGGCAGTGGCTTATTTGACATATTCTGTATGAGAACTGTCACTTAAGATGCATGCAAGTGTGTAATCCTGTTGATGTCAACTTAAACTATTGTCTTGTAGACAAACAAATATCTGAAATTAAGAGCTTGTGATGTAGCTGGAATAGTTTATCTCATGTCAGATATGCAAGACAGCCCTTTAGGATGGCTAATGGAAGAAATAAGGTACTCGACTGTATGCAATCCCATTGATTTTAGGATGTAAGGTTTCAGCTGTAGTGCTGTATCAAGCAGGTATGCTTTATTCCATGCTTAAAAAGTCATTTAAATGAGAATCTGTATGGTACGCTGGGATCTATCACCTTTGTTAATGTGCAAGCCTGGCCTCTACTTCTTTGATTTCATGGTTCCAAATTCTGGTCCCTACATCTGATGTGCAGAACAGAAAAGGTTTTTGACCATGGGGAATAAAACTGAAAGGAAAAGGCAGGAACTGGAAGCTTAAATGCAGGCAAAGGTTCCTTCTGAAATTCACTTGAAAAGAGTCAAAGGGTGTACATAAAAAATGAGGTTCACAAAATGTAGGGCAGAACCGTTCAAGGAAGAAAATCCAAATGGAAGTGCTTGAAGCATTGGAGAATAAAGCTGAACAGTAAGTAATTCTTAATGGTTGAAACTTGGGAGAACCCCGTTTTCTGAAATACAGGTAACATGCATGACTGATAACTGCATTTTGTCTGGTTGGGTTTTTTGCATGCTTAACACTCTTCATAATCAACTAAAATTATTTACAGGTATATCACAGAGGGACTACACTCAATACTACGATCATATCTCTACGCAACATGAGGAGATCTGTAGATCAATACAGGAGTTTTTCAAGAAGCACATACAGTATAAATTCTTGGATGAAGACTGTAAGTATCTTAAGGCTTCAATTAGCAAGGGGGGCATGGGGGAGGAAAGGAGAATGTTTATGAAGATTTTAAAATACTTATCGCACACATAGTTACAAAGACTTAAAAACAGAAATGAAGGGTTTGCCTCTTTGAAGTTCTTTTGCAGAGTACTGGGAGGTTTGAAAGTGCAAGGGCTTGCAGGGCAAAATCCTCAGAAATGAGACCTGTCCTCCTGCCCCCTTGCTGTTGGCTGAGCCAGGCTCGTTTCCTCCACAGCGCACTGAGTTGCAACATGCTAAATTCCAGTTTCCTGCTGGAGATCAGTGGAAAAACATCATAAATAATGGCATCTCCAATATTTTAAGTCTGTAGATATGCATCTCTCTCTTCATAGCTGTTGCTTTCACAGGACTTGGTTCTTTTTAACTTGGGAGAGTCTTATACCACTCGTGGCTAGAGCATGCAGAGCAATGTAGTTTTTGAAGAACTATAAAATCGGGAACAAAAAAACCCTGAAGGAATAGGCTGGAATTTCTCAGAAAAACACAATGAATGAGTGAAAGATCCCTTCAGGAGGCATAATGATTTTTTTTTTTTTTAAGACATTTTCCCCTTATATGTGTTTTTAATTAAGAAAAAATCTACACCTGAAAAGTGAGGAAGGAAAAGCTTAACAAAAGACATTCAGTAGTAAGAATGCTTGTTTATAAAGATATTGTCAGATGTTTGCTGCTAAATTATTGATGTACTCCTTGAAGAAAGGATCCGTAAGTTTCTTTTCAAGAAGTTATAATAATTTCTCCGAGAATATTGATGCACAGCAGTTCAGCTGCTGAAACTTTTGAATAAAGGCCATGCATGGTATTTGATACACCGAAGCAGACCAAGTAAATTGTCTTGTTCTTTAAACGTGGAGTCCTTTGCAAATCTTATTGGAAATGGTTTCCTGACATGGTTTAGTGAGAATTGAATAGTGCTCTGTGGTGGTGGGTGAGCAGGAGTGGAGGAAAATATGATGAAGAAATTAAATCGGGTCTGGCATGGGCCAAAACTCAGTTTAGTGAAGTACGTAAACATAAGAATTTTCTGCCAGCTGTATTGTCTTCTGTAAAGCTTTGAATATTTAACCTGTGGGTGAGTTTCTAACATGGTTAATTGTTTTGCTGAGCCACAAAAGCGGGCAAATAGATCTGTCCTGTCTGACTTGGGGAGGCCTTATTGTTCTCTACAACTGCCTGAAAGGAGGTTGTAGCCAGGTGGGGCTCAGTCTCTTCTCCCAAGTAACAAGCATTGACAAGAGGTAACAGCCTCAAATTGCACCAGGGGAGGTTTAGGGTGGATATTAGGGAAAATTTTTTCACTGGAAGGGTTGTTAACCAGGGAAGTGGTGGAATCACCATCCCTGGAGGTATTTAAAAGGCGTGTAGATGTTGTGCGAAGGGACATGGTTCAGTGGTGGACTTGGCAGTGCTAGGTTAAGGGTTGGACTTGATCTTAGGGGTCTTTCCAACCTAAACGATTCTATGACTTGCTGAAAAAGATACCTTCTAATGCCAGTCTTACTTATATTAAAATTTTTAATAATTTGACTCCGCAGGGTTTCTTTATTTCAGTCTAGAGAAGTTCTCAAGGATCACTCCTTAGAGAAGTTCTCAAGGATCACTCCTTAGAGAAGACTATTAGTCTGGAGATCAGTATGTGAACGTAGCCCTAATGTTTTGAAGTAAGATCAGTCATATAGATCTGACATTCTGATTACTGTCTTAATTTTCCTCTGTGTTTCAAAGTAATTTTAGCTGGTATGTAATCAACTGATAGATAAGAATTCGGGGCACTATTTTTGGAAATTGATGCCTAGATTTAAGCTCTGAAACTGCTGTCTGCTGAACTGAAAGGTCTGAAGTGTAATCTTATGTAAAGGACATAAAACTGTGCCATCTGAGTTACCTTCTGGGAAAGGAGGTTTCAGGGTGACCTCTCCTGGGTTGGCGGTTTGTTAACCTTTTTGTTCTTAGGCACTAAATGCTGGTGACTTGTCATTCTGCAGAGAAATGCCATGCAGAAAATGTTTTCTGTTTGTATTTTTTTTTTACCACCCTTCATTCATCCCCCAGCTTGATCCACTGTCTTGTAGCATATGTGTTGTGAACAGTAAAAATCTGGGTTTGCTTGTTTGTTTGCTTTGAAAAGGAAAGGTATTACAGCTTTTTTCCTGACTTCTTGTTTCGTTGGGGATTTTGATGCTGTTTGCTCTGCTTTTTCCAGTTGGTCTGGTAGCATCTCCAGATGGAAGAGTTGAGTCAGAGCAGCTGAAGCATTGTAGAGTCAGAGCAGTAGGATAACAGATGGGTGAATGCTTTATAAATACTTCTAAATGATGGTAGAACCTTCTAAATGCCTTTCATAAGAGCCCAGTAAGAACAGTATTGTGGAGATACTGATACTTACTGTAGAGTTGAGCCTTGGCTTGCCCTTCATATGAAGCAGTTGCTGATAAAGGCTTATTACAGTCTCACTGGCACATGACACTCCTGCTCTGAGGTGGTCCCTAAGAAGAGGGAACAGTTCATTTTTCTTCTCAGTTCAGTGTTTGTGAGTGTCCCAAGCCAGTCACCAATGTGCAGTCAGTCTTAACGGGGACATAAATTCCTCTAAATGCCATTGGCTTCAATGATTGCCGTAGGCTTGCTTTAAGCTGACAGGCTTCATTTTGCAATAAAGCTCAGATGCAAGTTTTCCATTAATAAAATATGACTAATGACAGCTCACAGTACAGGCAACAGGTTCAGTTGAACAGCTGGAGAAGAAACTTAGGGTTGCTGTGCTCCTCTTTACATTGATGACAGCCACCGAGGGCTTGTCTTCTCGAGAGAAACAGCACTTAATTCTGGAGTGATATTTTAAATTGACGTAACTGAGGTTGTGCAAAAAGGCTGTGTGGATTTTTAGCATATATGGTCAAAACCAGTTACGTGATTGGCTTTGGTGCTGTTGAGTTGTGGTTTGCCCTTAGCCCAGCCAACTTCACATGAAATGTTAGATTAAGCTGGTGAGTAGCTTTACATGCATGAAGGTGATCCATCAACATCCCTGTTCCTGACGGGCAGCTTCCTGAGAAGTTCCTGAGGCTCAAGTGTTCTTCAGTCATATCCTGAGTTTAGTTTATCCCCACATGTATTGGGAAACCTCTAAGCTGAAATATTCCCTTCCTTATTAGTGAAGGAAGTGACAAGACAGCATTTGTCTGTGTTTTTTCTAAATCTGGCTTTTCTTTTTCTTTCTTTCTGCTAAACTGGTACAACTTCTGCATGTAGTCATGCCTGAATACCTATCTGTCTATTTTCCTAGCTGAATAGAAAGACAAAGATTTGTTTAACCGTAGAGAACAGGAGCTAATAGAAAGATGCATGTACAAAGATTCACGCTTAATTAAGTCAAGGGGAGGGACAACCATGGAGCAAGGCAGATTTGCGTCAGACAACGAGTAGCAAAGGGTCTGTTTGAAAGAGTTGTTAATCAGCAGTAGGTGTGTGGTATCTGCTCTGGGTTACATTAAACATAGCCATTTCACTGCCACCTCCTCCTCAGCGCCCAGCGACCCCTTTGTTCCCACAACCTGTTTGTCTTGTTACGTGCTGAAGTCCTCATCTCCATGAAGCAGGAACTTTCTCTTATTAAATGTTTGTGCAAAGCCCTGGCACGGTGGAGACTTGATCCTCCCTTGAAATTTCTCCTGTAAACCAAAGAGTGGTAATGTCAAAGATAAGCTTCTCTTTGGGTGTTTGTCCATGTGAGTTTATCAAATGTTCTTCACTGGGGGTGGGGGGGAGGGGATCAACAGAAAAAAACCAGTATTAAATGGTAAAACTGGGCAGCCAATCTCTCAGTGCATTAACAGTAATTCTTGAAATGTTTTAAATCCCTCTTGGAAACGAACCTAATTCTGGCTTGCAGTTCTTGAGGCATATTGACTTTACAGTTTATGCTGCGTACACAAGTATCTATTCAGATTTAGATCTCCTATTCTATTCAGATTCACATCTTCTGTGAAATTATATATCTTTTGAGATTAACATATGTTTCTTTTCTCCCTTTCAGTTGTATTTGATGTGTACAGAGACAGCAGGGTAAGTGAACAATAGGTTCTATATGATTGTTTATTCTGTGGAAGCAAATAATAGCTTCATCTTCTTAGAACTCATCCTGGCAAAAAAAAAACCCCAAACCAACCAAACAAAAATCATAAACAAAACCCTACTTGATGTTATCATTCTGTTCCCCAGGTCTTTTTCTATGTGAGATGCTGTCTGCAGGAGGATAATAATAGGATTAGGGGTGTAAAAACGTCTGTGCTGGTGATGTAATTATTTAGTAAATATCTTCCAGAGTAGTCTGTCTTCAAACACATAACTTTGGCTTCAGCTGCAATTCTGTCAGTTCTTGGAATCTACTGGAAGCAATTTAGTTTTCATTATGACACGGGGAGTCTTTGCTGAAATAATTTAGAATAGAACAGAACCATTTCAGTTGGAAGGGATCTACAACAATCATCTAGTCCAACTGCCTGACCAATTCAGGGCTGACCAAAAATTAAAGCATGTTATTAAGGGCACTGTCCAAATCCTTCATAAACACTGACAGGCTTGGGGCATTTTCTTTTAAGATAGGCACTTAATAACGTGCAACATTACTAAATTGTTTTAGCAGAGCACTACGTGTTGCTAAGGTTCCCTCTGCATAGTGCTTACTCTGAGCGCTTTTGACAGAAATGTATCTGGACGTTCAGCAGGAATGGTTGTGATATTTCAAAAAATAAGGTGGGGATGATATTTCTCTCACTAAAAAAAAAAAATAATTTGGGCAATTTTTATTAAAAAAATTGTTCCTTGGGCTTTTTTTTTCCCCTGTAATGTTTTCCCTTATAGCATCTGAACTTCTCAAAATGAATCATTAATAGATTATCCATGTGAGGTTTGAAAAAGATAACTTCATATGTGGAAGTCTAGGGTCCAAAGGGATGGTTGTCAAATGAGTATATGAATGTGGCATTCCCAGTTTGTGACAGATAGAAGCTATTTTTTTTCTTTTCAAACTGCTCCAGCTGTGTGTGGTTGTGAGTTCTCCGATCAGAACCCTGAACATCCAGATAGGGACAGAGTGGGGAGAAATGTCCCATCTGAACTTCAGGCCCCCCTGTCAGTTAGTCACCTTGACCTCTCCTAGTGTCAATGGAGAGAAATAGGTCAGATGAATTGTGCATGGAAGGCACATGTGTATTGTTTTAAAAGCAGCTGCAACCAAAAATGCATTCTGCAGCCTTCAATCTCACAACCTGATTTTGGGAATCACGTTAGTGCATAGAAAGTAAGTCTTTGTTTTAGCTTAAATTCTTTCCAAATATTAAACCGGAAATGGAAAAAAAAATGGCTGTATACTTTTCCTGCATACATGAGTCTTACTGTTTGACTTGTTTACAGTTAGGGGCTGGAGAAGGTCTTTATTTGTGTTGAGTACTTGTAGTAAGTTCTGATTCTAGCTTTGAATGTTGCTAAAGTATCTTGTAATTCTGTAACAGTCAATTCTGTAATCAATCAGTTTACAAAACAGAAACTGAACAGGAATGTGTGTCATGTGGAAAACAACTGTTGTGCTCTTACTCAGCACAACTTTTAGCGTACTTATCTAAAATCAGGCTACAGGCTAAAAACAGCTGTGCTGAACGGTAATGAAAATGACCTGCCCAGGTTCAGATCTTCAGACTTCAGGATGCTCTTGGGCAAAATGAGGAGCAACACTTCAGTGTTGAAGCAGGTCCTGCCATTGGGAACTCTGCCTCCCAGCTGAGGCATGAAGAGGCATTATTCAAGTGAAAGGTTTCAGCCTGTGTAATCTCAAATGAGCAGTGTTTCTTCTTCTGTCAAGATAAAATATATCTGTTTGTAGATATCTCTTGCTGCCTTCTACCCTCAGGTCTTGTAAACTGCTAGATAGCCCTTTGTGTGTCAGATCCTCCTCCTTTCACACATACTTTTGTGGTTTTGCAACTGTATTATTCATCGCTCCTTTGTATGTGAGTTACAGGCAGCTAAAGAATATTGAGTGTTGCTGAGTGTGATTAATTTCCAGAGCCCGTGCTCCTCCTCGGGCTGGTTGCACGGCAACCTCACCTACAGAATGAGAGAAATGTCCAGTGTCTGCTTATTTTAAATTATTTCAACCCTGAATACTCAGCTTGGAGAAGCTCATTCTTTGGTATGGTTGTGAATGGGAGCAGCCCCTTCCCCAAGTAACTGAAGCGAGCAATTTTGGTTACTTGAGAGGCTGCACGGAGCAGGCTGCCACAGGTTGGAGGGTGACATAGAAGCAGCGATGGCAGGGTGGAGAGCAAGCTTTTATGTGTCTGCTTTTCCTGTTACGCTGTCTTTACCCAGCTCATCTGAGCGAGTGCCTGACTTTGCAGACAAGTCATCTTTTTAAGGAAGAAACACTGTCACACAGTCTTCTTGATGATGTAGAGACCCAGTCCCGAGGGGGTTATGTTGCAGGACTGGTAGCCTGTTTTCATTTGGATCCACTCCTTTTTTTATTTTTTTATTATTTTTTTTTTTTAGCTGCTAGCAGTTCACAATTGTTGTGCAACAGCTGATGAGAATCAGCTCTGCTGTTGCTCTTTGGGTATCTCCCAGGTATTAACAACTTGTGACCGTGTTCAAGGCGAGTCACTGTGGTAAGACAAAGAAAGGTGGTGAGTGGCTCCAGAGCAGCCTCACAGCTGCAACCAGTTAACCTGCAAACCCGTGCTTGTGTCTCTGCCTTGTGAGCATTGTCACCGGGCATGGAGGTGCAGCTGGAGCGAGGGGGATGTAACAGTTCTGTTTGCATTTTATCTATCTTTTAACTTCCTTTAAACAGTCTTTGTCATCGACGCTTCCTTTCAGCAGCACGTTGCCTAATGCTTTAGTAAAACAAAGCGTGAAGTTGACATGATACAGTGAATCTGTTGGTTCCCGTATTAGGATGAGGAAAAAAATAAATAAATTATGTAATACAGGTTGGTGGGTTTTCTTTCCCCTGCAGATATGCACAACTTTGCTTTCCTGGCTTGTGCATTTCTGTCCTCTCATATGACAAAGATTATTAATATCAGAATGTGGCAGATAAATAGTTTTACTGCTGCTCTTTAGATACTCAGTGTAAGTCGCCTGAAACTACATTTAAATCATGACATGGCGACAAAGATTATTAATATCAGAATGTGGCAGATAAATAGTTTTACTACCACTCTTTAATACTCAGTGTAAGTCACCTGAAACTACATTTAAATCATGACATCGCATGTAAGACTTGAAAGAGCATTTAATCTTAAGAAAAGGCAGTTTGGTTACTGACCCAGAGTACACTCCCTTTAATGAGTCCTGAAAAGGGATATTTAGTTTGTTTTGCCATTTCCCATCAATTTGCAGCTACCAAAGCTCAGTGCAGATTTGAGACTGTCTCAAGGAAGCAGTTGATGTTGTGGATGGTGTACTGCTGTCTGCAGGGAGGGAGAAATACACAAAGCACAGGTGTTGCTTTCGGTAGCCTCAAAACCAATTTTCAGTTTTTTCCATTTCTTCTCTAGAGAAATGATCTTGAGTTCCTGTGAAAAAGCCGCGTTTCGCGTATTTGGGGTGAGGAGGAGTCTCTGTGAAAGCCTTTCATGGGGAAGTCCTTTGTTGAGCATAAACGTTTCTGATGCAAGGAAAGAGTCTCTGAACTGCTGAATGAACTTTGCCAGCCATTGCTTCTGTCTGGATTAAATTGGTTCATTAGCTTGTTTTTCTAGCGTGATAGAATGAATCTAAAATTACAGATTCCTCTTCCTGCTGCCTTGGAGCTAACAAGATGTCCCCATTAGCAAAAGTAAAACATCACTTATAATGAGAATTTGTGACTGCCTTTTGAAGAGGAGCAGAGATGGAAAATGATAGTAGAGCTTGCCCCTGCTCACTCTCTGCACTGCTGGTGTCAGTATTGATGCAGAGGTGTTGCAGCTGAGCCACACAGGTTTGTGCTTCTTCACCCTTCCAAAACAACTAAGAAACCACTCGGGTCTGTGTCCCCACAATTTGCAATTTCTTTTGTAGCCCTCTGATTTTTAGTACTGCTGTTGTGGTGCATTGGCTTCTTCAAATGCGCTCTGCGAGAGTTGTACCTCGTGGATGTGCCCCGAGAGAGAGACCTGTGAAAGCCTGTGTGCAACCACACGCTCACCGCTCAGGCTGCTGGCTCACCTCCAGTCTGCAAGTAATAGCATTGGTTTCATCTGTGCTGGGACTGCCCCTGCCTGCACGGGTAACTGGATCTGGATGATAACAGACCAGCCAGAGCATTTCTGTCCTCTGTTGTACAGGTTTCCATGCGTTCCCTATTCTGAAGTGCATCAGGGATTGCAGGGGGGGTGGCTGGGGTAGCGTGGGTGGGAGAGGAAGCCTCCATGTCACTCTGTGACTGAAGGCTTCAAAAGCATCCCTGTAAGTGAGGGACCAGATGGCTGTAGCGTAAATCGTGGAAGGTATTTGCTGTTTGTATCAAGATAGGGAAGATCTTTTAAAGAAAGAAGATCCTTCAGGAATGAGGGGAAGAAAGAGAAATGAAAATAAGTTAGTTTTGTGGTGTGGGGTTTTTTTGGGTTTTTTTTTTTTTTTTTCAGTAGCAGTGCAGTCTTCAGGCTTGGCTTCCAATTCCAGTTGATCTTTATAATAAACACAGTAAAACCCTTCAGTCCTGCTTATGTTACAGCAACCTTTTTTCTTTCCATAATTATAGATCTGATTTCTTCCAGATGTAAACCTTGTTTTGCAAATTCTTACTATCAGTTGTAGTCTTATTTCATTATAATTTATTATGTTTTGTTTTATTGGAATAGATGACACTTTCTGGGGTAAGAAAAGATGGCCCTGTGCTGGGGGTTATGTCTTGAGATGATTCAACGCAAACTATTTCTTGCTCCCCTACAGACATCTCTCTTAACTTTAATATGTCATGTTAGTTTCTCTTTTTCAGTTTCTTCAGTTGCTTTCAGTAGCTTTCATTTTTCAGTTATAAAACAGGCATGCAGTTGTGCACACTACCAGAACTGTTTGGA